GTACAGAGCCAGGGCCAGGGCACGGTGCCCACCCACGGGGAGACTCCTGTCGGGTAATGATGTCTCTGCAGCACCTCAGCGAGATCAGCACCCTGACACAAGGGCAGCTCTGAGTGAGTGGTCGAGGCTTAGCTGCTCCCCGGACCCAGGACCCTGGAAGACAGGTAGGATCCTTAGCTTGGCATTTACCTTGGACAAACATACAAACCAGGTAATTGCCACTTTTCTTTAGATTGGAGCTGCTGTGGTCAGGAGATCACTAAAAACAATGGGAGAGCGGAAACACAATGCCATTCGCCAAATGTTTGAAGTGCTTGTGCTGCAAGACAGCAGTCATGGAATACATGCTACATCCCAGACCTTCCTGGGCTTGGGGCACCTACACTGGGTATGCCTGAGCATGAGCCTGACGTGGGGAGGCATCAAGGAAAGACACGCCCGATGGGGGCAGCGGGGCTCCTGGGTCAGGAATCAACACAGAAGGGCAACTGCCATGGAGACCCCGGCTTTGTCCAGCTCTGCTCTAGAGTCAGAGCAAGGGAGAGGAAGGCGACCCTTGAATGGTGGCTGCGGAGGTAAAGAGCACCGGAATGAATGGGGGGGGGGGAGGGTGTGTGGGAATAGTCTCAATGTAACTGACAAGTATAGGGCCTTCAGGGCAGCAGGGACATTGCACGAAGAGGGAGAAGTGATGGCCCTTTTCAGTTAAACAGATAAGTCAGTTCCCAGTGGAAGGAGGCCCCAGGGCTTCTAAGGCAGGGACAGGTTATGGGGCCATCCAGCAAGCATTTCTATCACCGGCTTAGCTCAGGCAGCTCACTGGCGCGTGTGTCCCCCTCATTGTCTAGAGGACAATCTGGGCTCTGCAAGGGGCTGTCATCTGAGCAGAACTCCAGACTCCTGGCCTCGCTGTCTTCCCACGTATTTCAATTTTGGGAGAGAAATGGTTTCCAGCCATCGGAAAAGAGAATCCCCAAGTCCGGTCAGGGCTCTGACTTCTGCTCTGGGCTGGTACTGTGAAGTCCTCAAGGCCCGTGGGGATGTCCCTAGGTGGTGGGAAAGGGTGTCAGGGCGTGGGAGCAACGGGCCTGAGTGGGGGTCTCCTGCAGGGAAGGCCAGGCCGGGGTGTCTGGAGCACCTGAGACCTCACCTCCAGTCTTCCATTTGCACATCACAACCCTACAAGTCCCACACCCAGTTCTGGTTCTCTCTAAGGAACACTTACAGGTCCACACAATCTACAGTTCTGTCTCCAAGAATTATAAAGTTTTCATATAAACCATAGAATACATTTAATTCAAATTAAACATGAAACTAGAATAATGTTCGGTCCTTATCAAGTAGCCATTACATTGTTTAAAAAAAAAAAAAAAAAGAACAGTACATCTCTTCCTACATCCTGGCGACCCAGCAAGGCACGAGTCACATCCAGTTTGCTGAGGTGACGGATCCAGCAGTCACCTCAGCGCGCGTGGTTGGGGGGTGGTGGGGAGACGGACACGGGACACACAGACCTTACTTCACACGGGTCGACTCTGCAGGCGTCTGGAGAGCCAGCGCCCCCCACCCCGCAACCGGAGCGGGGGCAGGCACGGCGCCCTCAGGCAGCTGGTCCGCGGTCAGCGAGCTGCCGCGCCTCCCCCATCACCCCGCGCCGGCGCATGGACAGCAGAGGCGTCTCGGCAACAGGCTCTGCCCACCCTCGGGCGCTCCTCTTTCCGTTCCGGCATGATTTCTTTCCCATGCAGACAGCCGACTTCTGGACACAGGTCATGCAGCTTTCAGCGTGGGCCCTGCGTCCTCCGCAGCCCCGAGCGGCCGAGTCCTGCGAGGCAAAGGCCGCTTCCCTGCACTGAAAGCATTTCACTGTTTGGTCTGCAAAGGTCCAGTGTGCCCGCCCTCCCCCAGGGGTGGGGGCCTGCGCGCTCTCTTCACAGGGCCGTGCTCTCCGTGTCATTGTCCAAGTCCAGCAGGATGCGGCCCGGCAGGTCTCTGCTTGCTGAGTCTGAATGCTCGTCAGGATAGCTGCTGCGAAGCGCGTCTGAAAGCCTAGAACTGGCGTCTGGACAGAAACACCAGGACACGGGGTCAGTGGTGGGGGACGCACCAGCCGGCACGGAGGGGCTCGCTCTGGGGAGAACAGAAGCCGGAGAGTTCGGGAGCTGCCCATGCACACACGTTCCCTCTCCAGAGGCACCACCAGCCCTCACAAGTGGAGTGGGGAGCCGCAGCCACGTGGCACGGCGCCCTGGTCTGGGCCTGTCTGCGGGCGGCTGCTCGGAAGCCAGCCCCCCAAGGCTCTGCCTGCTGTGGGTGAAGACAGGAACCCGCCCTCGGGCCGCCTCTGAGGCACTAACAGAGACCTCCTGACCACCTGGCCACCTGGGCTGCCGGGCTGTCGGGGCCTGTGGGAAGCACCTGCTGCTGAGGCTGACGCGTCCTGTTGCTTAAGCAGCGCCCTCAGCCTCGCAGCCGTGACACGGCAGGGTCATGGGCGCCACCTGTGTACAGTAGGGTGCTCTGCGTGTTCCTGCCCTCTCCCCGGCAGTGACGGCCCTAGATGTCTCCAGACACTGCCAAATAGCCCTCGGGGGCACAGTCACCCTGGCTGGCACACACTGAGGTAGAACCCCAAATCTGAAAATACTCTAATGCTTGTCCCTCCGGTTCCTTTCTCGAGTGGCCTTGTGCTGGCTGGAACTCCTCGAGCAAGAGAGTGAACGCGTGGTCCCCAAGCCCCCTCACGCCCGTGCTCACAGACTCCTCCCTGACCACAGGGCGCTTCCCAGGGGGGCAGTGAGTCTCCAAGTCATTCATTCAGGAACAAATATTTACTGAGCACCCACCACGTGCTGGTTCTCGCTGTGAGACACATAGTGAGCGAGACAGAAACAGCTTTAAGGAAGCCTTCGCCTGGCTGGGGAGGGGAGCCGGACGGAGACAGCAGGCTCTGCTTCCCTCATACCTGGGGGTTCCAGAGGACGGCGAGAGCCTCGCGAAAGCTTTCAGGGCTGGCCCAGGAGCGGAGGGAGTGCCCAGATTTGCTGTAGCTTCACTTTACCAGGTGAAAGCTGTCGTGGGGAGCTGAGAGGGCACTGGGGGGAGCTGCGGGCGTGCTGGTTGGGGCACAGTCTTCCAGGTTTACCCTTGCTAGGAGCTGCTCCTGAGAGGACTTCTGCTTTGCGGCTCCAGGTGAAGGTTCACCTCTGGGAGGCTCCCCACATTGAGTCTGGCCCTGCCCCCAGACACCCCTACAGTGCTGGACTATGAGGTCTATTTACTTCCTGGAAGTTCTCTTTTCTTGAAATGACCCCTGGCAGACCAGTGCTTCCAAGCTTCCAGATTCCTGGGAGTTCGGGTGCAGGATGCCATGCCAATCAATCAGGCAGGACCTCCTCCCCCAGGGAGTTTGCACCGCCTCAGGGAAGATAACATTTGAGGGGAAAGTGGGCTGGATCCCAAACATTCTGGCTTATTTTGGTAAAAAAGTTACTGTAGAAAGACACCTGCAGGAATTCACTATTTTTTAAAAACACGTCTATAACTTTCTGGCCATGAATCTCTGTAAGGCCAGATCGTTGTAAAAACAACCGATTCATGTGAGTTGACTATCGGTGGCCTGTGTACACCAAAGAGGACGTCCTGGCTTTGTTCTGAGCAGAATGAAAGTGACGAGGGCAGGGCCGTGTCTGTCTCGTTCACAGCACATCTCCAGCACCTAGAACTAGGTTAATGGCAGATGCTCAATCAACTCCGTGGCTGGCCATGGGTTGGATGGGTAAACGGGTGAGGGAGGGAGAAGATCACCTACCCCAACCAGCTTTCCAAGCCTCACTCCCCAGAGCCTCAAGTAAAGCAGCCATGCCTGGAAGCCAGCCCTGGTACACAAAGTTCATGGCAAACCTGATCTCTTTGCCATCACCCCAGCCCAAGACGACAGACAGGGTGGCCAGCAGGTCTCTACGCAGCCCAAAGACTCACCAAGAAACTGTGGAACTGACATGCCTGGGGACAAGCAGGAGGCAAAGGCCTGACCAGCCTCTGCTTAAGGATTTATGCAAACTGATGCCTGCCAGCCACCGATCTTCTCCAGAGGACAAACATCTGGCTAAAAGAAAAATCTTTCTCTTTTTACATCATACACTAGTAATTTCTGGATTGTGCTTTTGTGACTTTCCCTAATAATTTCTGATAAACACACTGGCTGTATACTCCAGGAAGAAAGGTGAGGAGGTGCCCCAAGAGGGGCCTCTGTGCCGGCCAGGCCCGCCCCATCTGGTTGGCCTGGGATCGGCAGGCGCACTTCCTTCCCTGGGCCCTCTCTGCCGTTTCTTGGATAAACAACCGACATGTGTACACGCAAGCAGCAGGAATCACTGTCCGCGTGCAGGCCCAGCCTCCAGAACAAGGACTCTCTGGCACAGTTACTGGGTCTGCGGCACCCCACGGCAGTGAGAAGTGCTCCACGCCGGCTCCCTGAGCCCCTTAAAGCCCCTCTCTGCAACTGGCAGCTCTACTGTTGAGTTAAGAACGGGGGCCGGGGGGCTCTGCCAGGCTCAACTCCTTATCCAAGGTGACAGCCAGCTGTGGACACAGCCAGTCCTGCTGGGTCGGGAGCCGGCCTCAAGCAGCTCACTGTGGCCTGCCTGCCCCAGGGAGTCTGCACTGTCTTGGGTGAAGGTCCTCAGAGAAGGCCGCCTTTGAGGGGAAAATGGATTGGGTCGTAAACATTCTGGTTTATTTTAGTAAAAAGGAGAAAAATGTACCTGCAGGAATTCTTCATCTTTTACCACCTCTACAACTTTCTGGCTATGACCTTCTAGAAAGCAGCACTTTTCATACTTTCCAAGATGAGCTGTTCCTTGGGGCACATTGCTGAGAGCTAAGTTTGTATGACAGTAATTACATTAAAAAGAAAAAAAAAATCATATGCACTGGACTATGGTGATGGCACACGGGTGATTTGGTGATGGGAAGCCCACGGGGATTACAACTGAGATGGAAAAAGGTACAAAATGATGTAAAAATAAATTATTATATTATTAAAAAAAAAAATCAAACAGAGAGGGGAGCCCAGGAAACTCAGAGGCAGAATGTGAGGTGCTTTTCCTCTGATCTGGGGCTTGGACACACGGAGCCAAATTCCTTTTTTTCCTGAATGTCATTAGCAGAAGCAGGCCCTGTGAGGGCCAGAGCTGGCATTCTACACATGGGCATGTTCCTAGAAGACCTGACACTTCGGCAGCCTTGAAGGTGTGCTCTGGGTTGTAAGCGTGCACTTCAAAAAGTCCAAGGTCACTGTGAGGGTCATTCTGATAGGTAACAACCCAATACACTCTAAGTAAGACAGTGCAGGCACCGCTGTAGGGGTCACAAGAACACTCCCCAGCCTGCTCTGAGAGTTTTCAGGGCTGTGAGAGGCTTTGAGGCAACAGTCTATTATTTTAGACAAAGGAGGCCCTGTTCACCTCTCATGGCTATATCTACTTATTAAAAACAAACTCCAAGTAGAAGCAGAAGTCACTGGACTGTCCTACTATGAGCAATAATACAGCTGCTTAAAGAAATACTAGCAGCTACTAAAAAAGGTGGTTATAACAACCACATTCTTGCATGTAACATAAAGGAAAAATTTTCAATGCCAAGATCAAACCTATGCATGCCACACAATTATGCTCACACCCCCTCCACACCCCTTTTAGGGAAAAAACTGGAAGAAAAAAAGGGAGTATGAGTCACAGACCGCTCCGCAGGCAGGAGGGCGACCTCAGTGCTGCTAGTCCCCAAATTCTCTCTACCGTCTGCTTGCGTTAAATACACGCCTCTTGCGACTCAGAGTTCAGTTTCGAGAGGAGGACGCTCGGGAACCAGTCGAGCGCTGTGCTTCACGGCGTCAAGAGGGCTGGGCCCCACAGCGCGCACAGGGCTGGGGGTTCTCAGGTACGTGCGACTAAGAAGTAGCTTCTACTTCGACTGCTGTCTTTTAAACCCACAATGGAACAGCTACAAGGGAACTCCAGGGGGTGGGTCAACTCAGAGGACACAGGCTCTTTAAAAATTTAAAATTTAAAATTTTATATAAATTTTTAAAATTTATATACTTCTATTTCATTACATTTTTAACATTAGCAAATGCATCTAATGGCTAGCCTGGTATTTTTTTCTAGGTAAAAATGACAATAAGTATGTACCACTGATTGAGACCCACTGTATGTCAAGATGCTTTTATTAGTTATCTAATGGAACCCCTTCAACAGTAACTTTCACTGCATCTTTCACAGATGAGGTGTCACACAGAGAGCTGGAATTCTAATCCAGGCAGGTCCGACTTTACAGTATGTGTTCTTTCCACTACACCTCAAGCCTGCTGAGTACAGACAAGAATGGAAATGAAAGAAGGAACAAGCCCAGCCCCGTGCCCAAGTGAACACGTCTGTGAACACACTTAGTACGAGGTACGACAGCAAGCACAAACGAAGCCAGCCTCCTTAGCAGTGCACCATTAGTAGGGATGCAAGCGGCAGGGTTAGGGTGAATGGTTAGTGACAGGCGTTAGTGCACAAACATGATCATCACGTAGCAAAAATGCTTTGGCCAATCAGGTGCCTTTTCCTTACCATTAAATATTCCAATTTCAGTTCTTACTGAATATGGCAGGTCATACATCTAAATTATTTAATAAAATGTTTAAATTAGAATACTCTTTGCTAACATCTATCACTTTAAAAACAGTAAGCTCTTTGACTCACGAAGCAAAAAGTCCTACTGCTTTCCAGAGTAACAACTGAGAGATGCAAAACGAGGCCAGAGCCCTCCATTCTCCCGAGCCAGTGCCCAGGGGCAGAACTGGTGGCCAGACCAGCACTGCAGCTGTGATCCCATCTTCATCCCCTTGTTAAGATCAAATACTCTAAGCCAACAATCTGTTTTCAAATTTGTCTAAGGGTTTCTAAGCACAAACAAGATGTCATAATAAGGTCTGTCTGTCCAAGGACGTTATGCTTTTTCTTCTCAAACACATAGCCCTTGTCTGCAGGATGGAGGGCAGCAGGTGGCCCATTCGAGATGCTGGCTTCCTGTGCATTCGTCACGGCAGTGCAGGGGTTTTACGAAATTAAAAGACAATCATGGTGTCTGGCATCTCTTGACTTAGAAGAACTCACAGCACAGGCTGTTTATTGTTTTAAACATTCAACTAATATCTTAAGGAAAAATATTTTTAATATAAAATCTCACTGATCTGAAATTTACAAAGTTCACAGCATTACAGAGTTGTAGCAGATCAGTAAGACAACCTCCTGGAAGAAGTGTACCCCATGTAGAAAGGGTACAAAAGAACTGACCTAATTTTGGCTTGGCGTCTTTCCCTTACTTAAGGAAAGATCTGGGAATCAAATGTTGGGGTGTCTCAAGTACCTAAGAGTTAATGCTCGGCCTTGCTTAGGATTAGTCACTTTGCTTGCTCTGTGTGCGACTTTCCACCCACGGGGTCTCTGGGTTAATCACCATGGAGTTGGAGGGTGGCATCGCCCCGCGCCCTCCTTGTGTTTTAAAGCTCGTGCTCTTGTTTCCCCTTCTGGTTTCTACAGAAAGTCTTCCTCAGAGCAAAGCTGTGAACACTCTGGCTAAGCAGTCCACTGAGGGCTCGAGGCCCAGAGGAGCTGGGCAACTGTACACACGATGAGCGCCATATGCTGTGCCAACAGGCACCTACAGGAGGCGCCAGGTGAGCCTTGCAGTGCCTTTTAAAAAGCTCATGTGGTTTAGGAAAGCAAAATATAAGCATGCTAGAATTAAAGGAATTTAGTGTGGGATGTTTGGAGGTTTTATTTTTGGTCCTGAGCCAATTTTGAGCATCAAATTAAGAAGCTCCATGCAGTTAACTTGCACTTAGATATAAAATTAAAAATGAAAGCTTAAGACACAAGGGACACGATTTTCCGAGTTCCTTTTGGTTGAATGCTGATGAGCCCATCATGACAGTTAAATCACACCGCGAAGAGCAGACTGCTTGTGGAAAGGCTTCCCAAAAAGAAAGAATTCATTCTAAGTATCTCCTCTGGGGTGCTTCAGATCTCCTGACATCTACTTCTAGAAGTGGGAGCCTCGGCTTTAAATGCTTCTGACAAAAACAAAAGTGCAGCCTGCAGGCTACAGAACAGGTGGGCGGGGCCAAGTGGCTGCACTGCTCCTGAGCACAAGTCAAAAGCACAAAATACAAAACACGGCTAAGCAGGAGCTCTTGGGGCTGAGGTGCAAGCTGCGGGGCATTACAGACCTTAGTCCTGGAAACCTTCCCCACCTGTGAGGGCACTAGCAAGGTCATCTATTGGGAAACAAACAAACAAACAATGTGACTTTTCTTCTTAAAAACAAAGGCTGAGGTGTCATCAGAAAAAAAGGCATTAACCATTTACAGTGCTTGCAAATTATGCATTATGTGCCTGGGTGAAGGGTTATCAACAGATCAACCAGTCACGTGGGGACCAGGCTGGCAGTCACCTGGCTCATTTTCAACAGAGAAGTCACTCAGTGTCTGGGGGGGGGCACACAGATGTATTTCCGCTTCTCTGAAGAATTTCACTTAGAAAATTTAAAACTAGGCTATTGTAAGAAATGATTCAAAGCTCCTAATTGGCACTTAGAAAAAAATTCCTCAAAAAGCTCCATCCACTTCATCCTAAATTAAATGTAAATTAGGGCGCTGGGAGTGGATTCTTTCTAAATCATAAAAACGAGCACGTGCAAGCCTGTAAAAAAATATTCCATTAGGCTGCCCACTACAATCTGTACAATCCACCAGCCAAAACAGGTCTTCATGGGAATTACGGGAAAAGCCTCCCTCTGCCATCACAGGGGGGCCCTCTGCTCAGACCGTGCCCAAGACCCCTCTTCCCAAGGCAATGGTTTTGGCATGAATCATGCTTTTTAAAGTTACACTCGAAACACTTCTCTTAATGTGAACACTTTTACTCTTGGGAAGAAAATATGCATTTTATGAGGAATTCACTAAGAAATTAAGTTCAAGTTACTTGAAAAATGTAAATGCAGGTAAGCCTCAAGCACATAATAAAACTATCAATCAGGGCCGCAGTTCAAGACCTGGTAGTAAATATTTTAGGTTGGGAGAGCCCCACGATCTCTGAGCTACCCACCTGCCCTGTTTCAGCACGGAAGCGGCCAGAGATGAGTTACAAAGCAAAACAAAAAACCCACAAAAAATAAAACGGACTGTGGGAAGGGTTTGACTCACTGGTGCTTTCCTGAGCCCTGCTCTAAATCAAAGCCTCAAAGAAGGGTCAGACCCAGAGCGGGGCCAAGTGGAGCCGAGAGCGCGAGCCACGACTTACCCGTGACTATCTTGGAAGCGGTGGGCGCTGCGCTGGCCAGGCTGCCTTCCACAGCTGAGTGGGCGCCCGGGGGGTGAGGAGGCGGGGGCACGCTGGGGCGGTTCCGCGGCTTTGGTACTGGTCTCGGTCTCGGCAAGGTTCCAGCATGCGGCTGCACAGTCTCTGGGTTACTCCCCGCCGGGGCCTGCGAGGCAGGCGGGCCTGGGTTCTGCTTTCCTAAGGGCGGAGTGCTGGGAGGCGTGGGGGTGTGGGGTGGCGTGGGGGCCGGCTGCTCCAGTCCGGGCTCCCCGGGCAGGCCCTGGCCCCCTGGCTTGCCGGGCCCCAGCAGCGTGGCCTGTGTTGGAGGCTGTGGCGGCGGGTGGCTGGGTGCTTGGATGGGAGACAGGCTGCTGGAGTACCTCCGGGCCGCCGAGAGCTGCGAGGGTGTGCTGGGCTGGCCCGGAGCCTGGCCTGGGTGCTGAGTGGGTGGAGAAGGACTTCGGGTGGCTGGTTTCGGTGACAGGCTGGGGGGGTGCTGAGATGTTGCTGGAGAACTCTGGCCCCCGGGATGGCCCGGAGGGGGGTTTCCTGGCTTGGGGGGCGCTGGAGCAGGTTTCTTAACAGCTGGCAAAGGGGGAAAAAGCTTTTCAGTAATAACAGCACAGTGCCTGTCAACTGCCTGAGCCAGGAGCGAGGTTCACTCCCCACAAGGAGCCACGTGATGCCACATGCCCCATCCCACCAACCCCGAACCCCTTTCACCTCTGTGGACGTCCTCCCCCGGACCCACAGTCCACCTGACAGTGAGAAAAACATCAGACTGATGCAAACTAGGGGATTATCTTCAAATTGCCTGACCAGCACTCCCCCTTGTCAGGACCGTGAGAAGCAAAGGGCGGCTGAGACACTGCCACAGGCGAGAAGAGACTCAGGACACAGGGGGACTGGACGCCGGGCTTCCTGGGCAGGAGCCAGGCTTCCCCTGGAGACAGCCAGTACCAGAAAACCCGGCAAATTCAATAGTATCTGGAGCTCAGTTAAGAGAAATGTACCCGCGTAGTTTTCTTAGCTGCGATAAATGTACCATGGTTATTAGCAAGGTGTGAGAGAGTGGGGGTACGGGGTGAGGATACATGGGAAACCCTCAGCACTATCTTTGCCACTTTTCCATAAATCTAAAATGACTCCAAATTTTAGTATTAAAAAAAAAATCGTTCCTTTAATGAGGTGTCACTTAAAAAGTTCAGTAAGAAGAAAATGTGGTGACAGTGGCCAGCGCACCCACACAGAACGGCTGCTGTCACCCCACTCGACAGCCCGCCGCCCTGTAAGAGCTGTGACAGAGGCATCTGGGTTCACACTTAACTGACTTTAGAAACAGCATCAGAGCATCATGTCAGTGCTTCCTGACCAGGCCTCAGTCTTCTTACCAGTGCCCCTCTGGGTCAGGGATCTGCCCTGAGCACTGCGGCATGTTCCCCGCCCCGCTGGCCTCTACCCACAGGACGCCACTGGCACGAGCCTCCCACTTGTGACAACCAAATGCCCTGGGCTGGCAAAGGAAGGAAAACACCCAAGTACAATCACCTCATGCTGTTAAAATGGAGACAACAAATGCTGGCAAGGATGTGCAGAGATCGGAGCCCTGGAGCAGTGATGGGAAGGTGGCTGTACACCGTGTGGGAAACAATATGGAGGTTCTCAGAATACTGCAAACACAACTGCCACACGCTCCAGCATCTGACCTCTGGGTCACGCAAGAAACGAAATCAGGGTCTCAAAGAGATTTCCACTGCCCTGCTCACTGCAGCATCATGGAAACAACCTAAATGTCCATCAGCTGATGACTGGATGAAGAAAAAGGGACGTCGTCCTACACAATGGAATATTATCTGGTCTTCATAAAGAAGAAAATTCTGCTAGATGACAATATGATGAACCTTATTGTAAAAAATGTACATAATAAGCAAGCAGAGGGACGAGCACTGCACGATTTCCCTTACATGTGGTGTCTGAAAGAGTCAGACCGGAATGGTGACTGCCAGGGGCTGAGAGGAGGGAGCAGTGAGGAGGTGGGGCAGCTGCCTCAAGCTTGCGACCTGTGAGACGGAAGTCCTGGGGACCCGGTGAGGGACAGCGTGCCGACAGTCCCACAGTGCCCTGAATGATATGAGCTGATTGCTTAAACACTGAAGGTCACGCCAAGTGTCTTACCACGATAAAACTTTTACAAAGAAAAGAATGCATGAACCATATGAAAATGGGGGTCAGAATGTTCTGGAAAAGAAAATGAGAAGGCTCAGAGAGAAAACGGGTCTAGTGATCCACGGACGAGAGAGCAGACCCACAAGTTTCAAGTGCTTAACAGAGGGGAGAGGAAGGGGTGGGCCCCAAGTGGGCCCATGCAGGGGGTTTGGATGGAAGCTATGGGGGGCTGTCAGTTAAGAGAGGACATGAACTACCGTGCAGTGTATCTGGCTTCCAGGGTGGCTGAGGAGAGGACAAGGGGCACACACTGTGCGCACACTGTACTCATCAGAAGGCCCAGGCCCCCCGAGGGCACAGGGGTTTGCAGAGGTGTGGAGCCGGGCCGAGACAGTGGCCGTGGCGGTCCTCGGGCAGTCGGGGCTAGGAGCACAGACTTCTGGGAAGCTGGAAGTGGCTCTGGAAAATGCCTTTTGGTTTGTTAAGTTCTGTATTTCTCAAATGCCTGCATTTCCACTCCGTATTTTCTTTTCATTTCTTTTTTAATATTTTAAAATCTTCCCATTTGCCATTTTATAACAGACATGGAAAAGACCTGTCCAAAGCCTCTCGCCTGAATCCTTGCACACCCCCACCCCCAGGCGCACGCAGGGAAGGGGACTACTTACCCCGGCGCAGAGTATGCGGACTGGGGCCGGCAGAATTGTGTGCGGGGCCCACAGAGAGCTGGTGAGAGCCAGTGGAGGACTGGGCCTGGCTCGGGCCCGTGGCCATCTGACTGTTGTTTCTCCCCGATGCAGGCACAGCTGCAGAGTCCTTGGGCTTCGGAGGGCTAAGGGGAGTGGAAGTCAAGTTAGGTGTCTGGCATTCCTGGCTAGAAACGCTAAGCACACTATAAAATATAAGGTCCAACCAGTTTTCACCTCAGCAGGCAAGGAGGTGATCTGAAATCTTATGTAATTCACTCTGGGCCTATAAAGCTAACATATTTACCCAATGCTGCATGAGATTACACATGTCATGAGACTCACTAGCAGAGTGTCTCCCTTTATGCTGCCCCTCAGATGTGATACTGACCATTTGACAGCCTCAGGTTATTGTTTGGACTTAAATTGGGCAGTATTTTAAAAAACATGAAGGGGCTTTGAGATGTCAAAATAATGTGATTTTGATACATACATTGTATGAAACTAAGTAAAAGGGATGATAAAATCCCTTTTTTATCTGAAGTGCTTGATTACAATCAACAATTTGGATTTGAGGAGGAGTCAGGGAGCAAATGCCTGTGCGACAAAGCCCAGCATCCACAGACAGCAGAGCCCAGTACTCAGGGCCCTACGTCCTGGCCTGGAGCTTCTCATGCCCACTTTACAGGCTTACAGCTATAGTATGTCAAAGTCACCAAAGACTGCAGGTCATCGGTGGTCACAAAATACCTACAGAACATGAAATACTAAGAGCTAATCGATGCCTGACATTTCATTTGCCCTCGGCAGTGAAGACAAATTACTGTCTTAAATAATCTACTCAGCCCTGACTAAACAAATGGGGCGCACAGGCGAATGAACATGTGAGTCTGCCAGTATTTTCTTTTCTCAACCAAAAACTTGAAAGCAAAACAAATACATGGAGGGAGTAGTAGGTACTTACAGACCAACATGGAGCTTCCAGTGGGGAAATGAAGCTCTGAGAAGTTTGAAGCCTTTATTTCTAACCTTATTTCTTATTTCTATTTTTAACCAAAAAGTGAACTTCCCCCCAAATGACTCAAGTAAACAGGAATGCAGGGGTGCATAGGTGCTGGAGTGCAGCTGTGAATGGATGGATGGATGGATGGATGGATGAATGAATGAATGAATGAATGCCAGGAATACTGTAACCTAACTTGCTACATTCAGCCTAGTTAGGGCACAGGATGACAACAAGCAAATGTGAGATTCTTATGGCACAGGCCAAGGGACTGAGCTACAGGGCCCTCCCTCCCCAACCCAAGGAAGATCAAGTGAGGGTGTGTCCCCAAGGCAAGTCCATCTCTCTGTGTGGAATAATATGGCTAAAGAGGCCGTCCCTGTTTTAGTTGTTTATTTTACTTTGTAAGTGATCAGTTACGTGCTTTCTAGATGGTGGAGGTAGAGCAAAGGACAATCAAAACCATAGCATCTACTCTGCAGAGGCCCCATCTTTACAGTAGTGACCAGTTCTGAGCCACCTCAAGCGGTCACCTGACCAGGTCAATGTGAGACTGGAATGAGTGAAAATCCAAATTGTCAATCTCAAAGGCACTTTTTCTAAAAGTCACTCCAGAGTTGTAGCCCACTCCAGGAGGTAAGTCAAATGGTTAAGGATCAAAAAGCTTCCTCTCTTGTATTGTGTTATCAGCTCCCCTACAAGGCTGAGCCGGGGTGGGAGAGCAAGTTAAGTCACCTAGTGCGTCTAGAGCCTATTAGTCACAGGGTGTGATTGGGTGAGTGAATAAGAAGCGAATGAATGAATGAATGCCAGGAATACTGTAATCTAGCTTTCTACATTCGACCTAGTTAGGGCACAGGATGACAACAAGCAAATGGTATAGCAACACTGAGGACACATTAAACAGGTAAGAGCTATACGATACTGGCAGACATCCACTGGCTTCCAGCTTCAAGCACCAAAGCAGTATGGTAAAGAAAGCAAACAAATGTTGCTTTCTTTTGAAAAATAAGAAAGGAAGCAAGCAATCTGCAGTCTTTTGGTCAATTCTTTGCCAGCTAGAGCAGTGGAAGGCAAATCTGGCTCACTCGATGCCGAGTGATTCTTCAGGCGTGGATGCCAGGCCCACAGGCAGGCACCTCAAGACGCTGGGTGTCCAGCATTCACGGTCAGCAGCAAGCACCCTCCTTACCTGCTATCGCCCGGGCTCGGCCCCTGCTCCAGCGTGCCCGCACAGTTGGGGACAGTCCCACCCCCTGCGCTGCTTTCAGCCCTAGTGCTCTGGGGAGAGGGCTCTGGGCCCGCTGGCGCCAAGGTGCTGCCATCTGTGGGCGGGAGTGGCGGCTGGAAAGCGGGGGACAGGTGCTTTCTATTTAGGGTACCACCCCGCCGGTGGGCCTGGAAGTCCATAAGCTTCACACCAAAGCTACACAGAGAGAAGAAACAGTCAACACACCATGCAAGCCAACCATTAAGACAGAGCCCCTTGGTCCACTCGCGTGAGGACCCCACACGGTAGCCACCCACGCTGCCCAGCATGCAGTGAGACAGCGAGGCCCAGCCAGTGGCCTTTCCTATCACCAGGGAACGCAGCTCAAGTGGGTTTTTAACCTGAGGGGACCCAGAATTGGTCAAGGCCCTTTCTCAACACAGGTGTGAACAGCTGGAAGCAGACAGGCGGCCCTGCCTGGGGCAGCGGCATCATGCCAGTGGGTTTACTTCCACAGCACCCGTGACCAGTTCAATTCTAGAGTTTGGGGACCAGGGAGCAGCTGAGTCCAGAGGTCCTCCCGGGGTGCGTGAAGTCGTCACACACCACTGACTCTGAAGCTGAGAATACACACGCTGGTGTGTGCGCAAAGAATAGATCTCATCGGATACATGAGTCTGGAAAAAACAGTTGCTTTGGGAAGGAGAGAGCGGTTGGTCGGAGGACTGGTTTGAAGGAAGACTCACTTTTCTTGTAAGTCAACCATTGCATGAACTTTCAAACTTTTCAGTTTGAAAAACAAATGCTAAGCAGCTCCCCGAGTTCTTATTTACTGGGTGAGCCAGAGGGGAGAATCCTGCAGACAGGAAACTGCGAACTGTGCACCAAGCAGACCCACAACATCGCGTGGCAGCACACGAGGACTGAGCGGGGCTGTGACCCGGAGGCACTGCCGAGTGGTGGGCGAGGGCGGGGGCGTGGGGGGCTCAGGCAAGTAAGACTTCCTACGTGTAGATTCAGAAGGACAGCGTCGGACAGCATTTCCCTCTGTTACGGGTTATAACAAACAAAAACAAATCCAAACCTCTACTTCAAGAATGGCCAATTAAAACAAGAGCTTGTTGCTTAGTTTTAATGTAAAACTATTTCCAATTAATGTTATGACATGTATGCAAGAAAAGCAGGTGAGTTCCCTGCTTACTCTTGGCATTACTGGTGAGTACGATGGCATTTCATCACACACTTGACAGTTCTCTGGAGGCAAAAATCCCAAGTTGCCTTAACACCACTGGAAATCCCACAAATCTCCCTTGGGGCACAGAACAGAGAACAGCCGTCTAGCAGGGAGTCCCATGTTCCAGAACTGGCCAACACCAAAGTTTCTTTGGCTGAACATGAGATCAGTGGTTTGGCTTCCACCGAGGGGCCAAGTTATACCAAACAGAAGTCTCTTTAAACATCAAATTGCACCACTCACCAAGAGGTGGGTTGCTCTCACTTTGAGTCCTGGACACAAGTCCACAGCATATAGCTCATTTCCCCTCCCCTTCCCCTCACCCCCCCATCAAGCACTCAGGGGAAACTGCACTGTGTGTGATGCTTTTCCAATGCAGGGCTTCTCACATTGAGCGAAGCTTGAGTACACAGGATAGGGTGTGAGCTGGCAAGCTACATGCCTACATTACGGCCAGGTAACTGTTGGGAACGAGCTAATGCGGACTTCCTGACACTATGTGGACTCCCCCAGCCATGGGTGTGCAGGGTCACACTCAGACTGCAGGGACACTGAGGCGGTACAGATACTGAAGGTTTAACAGTTCTTCTACATGGTATCTGCTGTGGTTCTGAAAGGGAACAGCCTTGAACACACCTCTCCTTCTTCACCAAGTCCCCTTCCATCACCGCCATACTGGCTGGTCGCTTCCTCTCCAGGGTGCCCGAGTCAGAGTCATTTCCAGTGTGGGGAAAGTGATTAGAATTCGGGGTAGCAAGAGGTACAAATGCTTCTGAGACATTAAATTCCACCTCTGTAAGAAGAAACACAGACATACATGACACAAACAGCAAGAGCTGAGGGAGCTTTCAACCCACTACTGAAAAGGAGGCTCCTTGTTCAGTCCACAGGCCCACTCCTTTACAAGCGGAAGCTCCAGGGCTCACGCCTTCCTGGCAGGCCGAGAGGAGGCAAACCGAGAAGATGAGAGGTAAGGCAGACGTGACCCAGAAGTTACACAATTCCTCTGTGTACTTTTTGTTAAAAAAATAATCACGGAATACAGAAGAGAAAATGAATGTGGATTACTTGTCAAAAAAAAAGAAAAGGCATTTACAGCTGGATTAAAAAAAAAAAGAAAGAAAAGGCAACATCCACTCTATGTTGACAGCAGTTTTTGAGACGGGCTTTCTCAAAGGAGACCCTAGGCCGAGTGCCGACAGTCACCCCTCCCTCACAGCTGAGCTTATTAGCAGTCTGCATGAGTGAGGCGTGACTCAACAATAGGAAAATGGTGGCCTTGGACATGACGCCACACTCTGGCAAACCAGGCAGTGCTTCTCCTGGCAAAGCAGGGGAGGGAGGTCCAGATTCCCAACTCACCCAGTCAGCATGCCCACAGGGGCCAGGGCTGCCACACACTCGGCTTGAGACCCAGCACCTACGGATGAAGCCCTAGTTCTCAGACCTTCATGTACTGGCCCCAACCTTACCTTTGCACAAATCTAACTACCTAGATGGAGAAAAAGCCAATGGGAATCTCTTGAATATGCAGCATCACCGTTTCTGGAAAGCGAGCCCTGGCTCTGTCCAGCATTCGGGTTTGTCCCACCATCCGGCCACCTATCCTTCCAACTGGCTGCTATGATGGGGTGTGTGGTCTTCTGCAGGGGCCTTGCCCCTCCAGGAACAAACAGCAGGTCTTACAGCAAGCATACAGCACTTCTAGGGTATTTAATGTGCACTGGCTGGGCGGATGTTACCAGTGTTAAGTGAAATGAAGCACAATACAAGTTAACGTGCCACTATGTCAAAACATGAGTGTAGTCTGGGAGAAACATGAAAAAGTGAAACCAATTATAGACTCATGAAGAAACTACTGATGTATTTTCTTCTTTACATGATGCTTGCTACTATGAAAACAGTTAGCTCTGGCAGTCAGTGAAGCCGAGGAGGTTCTTACCTTCAGGGAAGAACCAGTCCGCGTGCTGAATAATGGGCTCGATGACAGCAACCACATGGACGGAGGTGGCTGCGGCCATCTCGGCCAGTGTCCTGCAAAGGAAGTTCACGGAGATGAAGCTCCTCCTGTGGATGGCCCTGGTGTCGGCAGCCACGCCATGGCTACTCAATTCTTTTTGAAAAGATAAAATAAGTTCAAATTCCAAGTCTAAGGACCCGAGGCCCTGGCCTCCAAGTGTGGCAGTGACCTTCCAGGGAAACAGAACCCACAGTGACAACAGCAGGAGAGCGAGGCCTGGACTGTGGGCAGGACTCTGGCTGTGCACTGGTCCAGCACAGCATTACCCAAGGTAGTGACTGTCTGTGACCCAAGGTCACCAAAACCCATTTGGTCCCCAATGTACCGGAGAGCAATTCGGTGTCTCAGGGCCCCGCCTGGAAGCCCGCACCCCCACACCGACACGTGAGCACAATCGTCACACATGCAGGCTGGCTCCAAGATGAGAGGACGTTGCAAGAGTCTGAATGTCAGGGCTCAAAAGGAAGAAAACAAGTAGGAATCACCCCCGCTCCCCTGGCTGTTGCTCAGCACACCCCAGAAGCAGATAGGCGGTGGAGGCCCACAGTTACCTAGCTTCCACCGCACTCACAGTTTAATTTTTACAACCTGGGGACAGTCATAGGCTGATTCCATAAATGAGGACACTGGATTCCTGGGACCCCGGATGCCAGGTCTGACCACCCCAAACCCACCTCCTCTCTATTCTCATTCTGCCCCATCTCCCCACTGGGAGGAGTCTTTTCACCCCAATTTCCAACCGGATTTCTTTCAAATGCCAGCTTAACATACAAGCTTGGCCTGCCAGCTTCCCTCCTCACCCTTTCCCCCAAGTGGATTCTGAAAGCACATCAAGCCTGAGCACCTGTCACTCATATTCTTGGTCACTTCTGCTTTTTAATTTTAAACCGGCATTGCCTGTTTATCTACTGGTTTGTAAACTCTCTTCACATATTCTGGGTCTTTTCTTGGGAGCTTTCTATTTCTACTGATCAAATCTATGTAATTGTTAAATTTATTTCTTGCACTTCATTTACGTTTATAAAATTATCCCTTAGTCCAAATGTTACCAAGTATTTACTTTCCATGTTTATGGCATTACTGTTTACATATAATTCTTCAGTCTCCCTGAAACTTAGTTGCTACAAAATAGACATGTCATTAACTCTGTAATGCAGTTATCTTTCATTTGTCTTTATGACATTGGATCTGTTTAAATAATGAAAAGGAAGGTTTTTAGAAAACCTTCAGAAAAGTCAGAAAGTCACTGCTTGTTTTAATGGAGACTTCAGGCACTCAGAATACTGGGGAGCAGTGGCAGGGGGTTAAGGACACAGGCTCCGTAGTCAGCACCTGGGTCCACCACTTCCCCATGTGCAGCATGAAGCAAATTACTTGTCTTCTCTAAGCCTCATCTGAGACCTCACCTATAAATATGAGGAAATAGCAGCTATTTCACAAGGTTATTTATGTGAGGATGAAATAAGGTAATCATGTTGCCACCAGAGTGAGCAGCAACACTAGTGATTTCCTAGAAACTCCAGGATCTCTGCTCTCCTCCTTCTATTCAACGTACATTCTCAGTGCCAACAAGTGTCTTCCTAAATGCAACTTGATCAAGTCATTTTTCTGCTCAGAAACCTTGAAGACTCCCCCACGAGCCATAAAGTAAGTTTACTCTCCCAGCAAGAGGCACGTGACCCTTTGTGACTTGGCTCTGCCTGCCCAGCCACAGCTTCACGGCCCTGATCTTCAAGTCCCAGGACTCCAGGTGACCCGGGAAACATGCCCACAATGTCTGCTCGCTAGGGTCCCATCACAACTCACCAAGGTGCAGCCCAAGCACCACTTCCCATGGCAAACACCCAGCCTGGCTCTGTCCTTTCAGCAAGTGGTGCTGCCCTCGTCTCTACGTCTGTGACCTAACTGCCATGTGCGCAGGTGCATGTGTGCCACTTTCACTGTGCTGTCGCCACTAAGCTGTCTGCCGGGAGCAGGGCCTGGGAGGACAACATGCAGTGTCCTCTGGGTGACCAGCACCTGGGACAGAACCCAGCTCACAGTGGTGTTGGAGAAAGCGGGCCAAATGGCAGGATCACTGCAGAGCACTCCGAAGTACGAATGGGCATCCTGAGTTATATTTCCAGTTTTCCCATTAAGTGGAAAGAAGAAATTGAAATAACACATTATGGTGTAAGATCACTTACCCTTCATTTTTGGCCCATAACAAATTAGGGCCCAACACGATTGCAATGTTGCTGGGAGTCATTTTATTAACATCGCTCGTCTGAGCAAGCTTTGCAAGGAACTTGATTAAATACCTATAGGATAAAGACAAGGAGGGAAGTGTCAGCTGAGATGACTGCAAGACTGTTATCATCATGCCTAGTCCCAGATGCTACCTGCAGTGTTCTCAAATCAGAAGCTGATGCAGTGAAAGAATTTAATAAATTCCATGTGCTCTTCCCCCACTCCAGAAATCAGACCAAGAACTAGGAAAACAAGTAAAATGTAAGCCTCAATGATTCAGTCTCTATTTGTTGTATATTTATAGTCAATTTTTACTTTATACCCTATTTATTCTAGGAAATGTGAAAAACAGTGGGCTCAATATAGTTTTAGTGCAAGCTTAGTGTATACATACACTTATACATATATATGGAGATATATATATATGCCTGTATTAGATAAAAGCAACTGTATTTGAAAATGCTCTATTTTTCAATTATGGAATTATCCAACTTATCATAGATATACCCTCTGATGTATAAGTACAGCACAATAGGACCAAAAAAATAAAGAAAAATTTAACTACAATAGGGGCCAGGCCAAAAAACTAACACATTGTGGAGTGTTACACACAGTTGCGAAAAGTTACAATGAAATGAAAAAAACTGCCAAGATACTAAGAGAACGTATACTATACTACTGTTTTTTTTTTTTAAAAAGGGGGGGAATGTGAGATTAAAAAAAATATACATACATATATGTGCATGTATATACATGTGCATGTATTTGCTTGTACAGTCACATGTTGCTTAGTGCTGTAGACATATTTTGAGAAATTCACTGGGCAATATCATCACTGTGTGAATACCACAGTGTAGCCACACAAACCCAGATGAGGCAGCCCACTGAGGGCTGTCTCCAGGGAATGGCCTACTGGAATGGCCTCCCCTGAATGCTCAGCCCATTGCTGATGGAAAGATCATTAAGCAGTGTCTGACTGTACAAGCAGAAGTCTGTGGAGAGGCTGTTTAAGAAACTGAAAACGTGTGCCTCTCAGGAGAGGAACTAGGTAGCTGGGAGATAGGAACAGGAGAGATCTTTCATTGAAATAATTTGAATTTCAAATCATGGGCATGTACTTCCGATTGATTAATAAAAATTATAAAGAGTAAAATAAACAAAATAAAAGGTCAAATTCCAAAGTCTCAGGAACCATAATTCAGTTCTCACCTAAGACCACAACTAGGTTAAGGATATTTACAATTCCAGACTGATGTGCTAAATGAAGCTGAGAGAGATACTGTATCAACCCAAACATGGGTGAACTTTTTACCTGAAGCATTAAGAAGTAATATTTAGCCTAGTGATAAAAGCCAAGATTGAATTTGAAGGCCGGGTAACTGGCAGACATTACCCCATGAGAGTATTTGTGGTTTTACACCGTACAAAATTTTCTTTGGCTTTATATGACTTTACAACTTGGGGCTACCTTTTCCCTTTTCTCCCTATGCTTCTTCAAGATTACATATTAAGCTCAGGGCAAATACAGGCTAGTTCTAGATATTTGTTCCATGGTAAATTTTCATAGAAACATAGCTATTCTGTAATGTAACATATCATCTCCATTTCCTGAAATCTTACTTTAGAGGATGATATATGCTCTATTTAAAAGAAATTATGTGAAAGATACTACCGAAAGCACAAACTACTGATTAGTTTTGTGTTTTACAAATTGGGTGATTAGACTCCAATCCAACATACAGTCAGCCAAAGTTTTCATGGGAATTTTTTCCCAGTCCCTGCAGTGGTAAACGGGAAGGCCTGTTACTAGGGCAGAGGTGAAGCTGAAGTCTCAGGCTCGTCACAGTATTACACATCAGCTCCCATTCCCAACCACCCCAAATCCAAGCGCGCCTACACTAAATGGCCTCCCACTGGGGCGAAACCTGTCTTCACGCCAGAGTCGCTGTCGGTTGGAGGCTGGATCTTCAGAATGGCAATCACACGTACCTAAAGTTAACAAAGTTTTGTGGTGGCAGCTTCTGACATGTTCTCCATAAATCTTGAAGCTTTTTGTCTTGATCCTGTACACTGAGAACAAAAAAGATGCGATTAGCAGGCAGTTGGTACAATTCATACAATAACACCTGTGTACTGTGCTACGCTAACACAGGGGCCCCATCGGCAGCAGAAAGCACAGTTGGAAAACAGCACAGAATTTGGAAATAGACAGATATAGAGTCAAATACCAACTAACTCCGGGCAGTTAGTGTCTGGCCAAGATTTACTCCCTTGATGTGCAAGACTGGGTAAAGAAGGTGCACTCTGGTGACAACAGTGAGGCTTCGTGCCATCAGTAAGCGGAGTCACTGCCGAGGCCAGTGCTTGGCACACAGTACGAGACAGCACTGAGAACTCCATCTAGAAAGTGCACATTCATGGGTGCCTTTGTGGAGCCCAGGTCTCCTCCTACTGCAGCCTGGCCAGAGGTGAGTCGGCTGATCTCTGACATCCAGACCCTGGTCTTCCCAAAGGTTCTAGGCCAGACTAGGCACCACAGTGAATACGCTCCCTATTTAAAAAACAATAAAATATACAGAGTAAACAAATAAAAGGCCATTTCTGCTGTGAAGGGATTCCAGAAGCCATTCTGCGTCAGTTTTAACATGTCAACTTTCATAGGGCCCAGACCAGCACCTGCAGAGAGAGGTCAGCTCTGCCCAGCAGCAGGCGAAAGCATTAAGTTGCTGACGCAATATTCTCTCCAGCCCCGGAGCAGGCTGGAGAGTGACAACCGAGGTTACACATAATTACACTCAGGGTCCATCCATGTGGCACTGGGATGACGGGGGTGGGGGGTGGTGCTAAAGCACAGAATTTCCCAATGGACAGACGTCTTTCAAAAGCTTGTTTTCTTGTAGGGATGGGTTTTCGAGTTGCAGAGCAGAACGAGGAGCCTTGTTAGTTAGGTAGTCTTCCATTGGCTACCCAACAGAAGAAATCCCAGAGCCCCCTCCTCTCTGACACTGATGGTTGGGCTCCATTTATTCAGGCCCATAAACATGAATGCTTAAGGGGGCTGTGCTGCATTCTAAGGACATAAACAGGACTACAAACTGATTTGGACTTTGATATTCTCTCAGTCTACCAGGGACAGAGATTCTCATTGCAACACCACAACAAGTTCAAAGGCAAATGGCTGGTTAGAGTGACAAGAAAGATCAAGGGATCAGTCACAGCCTCTTGGACGGGAATGGGTGACAGCGGCTGAGAGTGATATTGGGGTGGGGATCTGTTTGCCTTACACACGAAGACTCAGGCACCACTGAGAAGAAATGAGTCATAACTGTAAAGGACAAGCTGACAAGAAGGCAGGTTGACAAAGAGAAACTTCTAGGGCTTTTAAAAGAAGGCTATCCTGCTTAAAACTCTGAGAACAAAAATGTTATCATCACCATTGATTTTCACACACGTTAGTATGCCTGTGTTACTATGCTGCACTAACACAGTGTGCCTCAGTTAGTACGAGCAGTAAGCCGCACCTAGCAGTAAGCTACTCCTAGACAGGCTGAAGCTGGGGATGGAAGGAGGACAAAGATCAGTAGGGTCTGAATTCGAGCTCTGCCAATTACTTGCTACTCCCTTGGTCTCAGAGGTCTCATCTGGAAAATGAAGATGACACCAGATGCCTTTCATGTTACTGATTATGGGTTACAGATAATAGGTATACAGGTTGGTACAGAACTCAGCACAGTGTTTCTGTTATTACTAATAACACTAATATTAATACGACTAGGACAACAGGTCATTATGGCACAGTTGAGTTTCCACAGCTCAAGAGACAGACTGCCACCAGCTGGAAGACTCTTCCATCTGAAGGGGGTTTGTGACCAACCGGTTGGTACGGATATGAATATGGGCACCACTCTAAATTTTCAACCATATAAGTCACACAAATTTAAGCCAATGCATGTGTGGTGACCTTCCTACAGCAATAATTAGAATATTTTCACCCTAAACATAAGAACTGGAATAGTATTAGTTAACAAATAATTAATGAAATGAACAAGTAATTTAAACAATATGTTCATTTTATGATTCCTAGGAGCACAATGGTTTACAAGTGGGACACAGTATTACATTATTGTCTTAAACTTTAAAACCCAGTGTTCTGGACCCTCCCTGGTGGCGCAGCAGGTTAAAGCACAGCACTGAGAAGCCAAAGCCACTTCCGCATAAGTTCGATCCCCTCCCTGGAACTGATTACACAGCAGACCTCTCCTGACCCTCCTGTCTTTCCCCTCAGCAGTGTACTTCAGCAGTCTGCTTGTTCTGCTCCCCACTCTCTCTCTGGTGAATCTTTCGCCACCTCAGCACCTCTGGCCTGTACTCCAGTTCCCAGTTCTGTATGCATAAATAAATACATCTTAAAAAAAAAAAAAAAAAAAAAACCAGTGTTCTTTAAACTTACCTTGCAACCTGTGTCCATTCTTCATACAGATTAAAAGTCATCAAAGGTTCAGGCAGTTCCCGCAAATAGGACTTTAAAGCACCTGAAATTATTACCGCTTTCTTTTAGTGTGAAAAGAATGAAGGCTAGGAATCTTGGATCATATAGTTGCAAACTGAAATGATCTTAATTACAGTCTTCCAAGATAGAGAGGGCAATTATGATTCGTGAAAGTAGTTAAAGAATGAAATTTCTGTCCCTTGCAAAATATAATGAGATCATCAAAAATAAAGTTAACTTCAATCCATCTTCCTAACAGACATAATTTATCCAGGTGGAGCTAGACTTTGGAGGTGGAAGAAGATAGAAACACATCTCCAATATTTGTATTATATGTGCATCACCTTTATTTAATAATAAGGAGCATCAAAAACAGGAATAAAATGACATGTGTGCATGCGTTCAGTTTTATCTGCCACTTAAACCTAAAGTTAGAATTGGATGTTTAGCTAATGATATACCTGAGGTAGTCTCCCCCTTCCCCCCCATCTTAAGGTCCACTCTTTGGAGCTCACCTGCTACAGCATGGGGGTCTGAATAGAATTCATCCAGGTGAGACGTAGAACAATCTAAAGCAGCCTTCAGTTTCTTTAACTTGGAGGCCCCAGCCCCAATTCGGAAAAGACCCTAAAGGAAAAGCCATTTGCATTAAGTTCAAATTGTGAACCACACAGCCAGCAGCAGTAAAATTCTGACAGAGCCCGGCCTGCGACTCCACACCCCAGCCCCAACCCTCTCCGCCAGCCTCTTCTGGGAGGTGGTCAGGGCGAATGCTGGGGCAAGCAAGGAGCCCAGGCCATGGCAGCGGGCACAGTCCACACTTACTCATATTTACGACTTAAGCTGTCCTGCTGCTGAAACACCTGTGGCCTACCAAGAGTCTACTTTAAAGCTGTATTTTATATTTTCACAATTGACTACTATCCATTTTTAAAATTTAGGACTTTTTTAACTGCTAGCTTGATTCTGGCCACGCCCCAGTGCCATCTGTCACTTTCACTGCCCCAAGTGGCACTTGAAGAGAAGACAGAAACATGTGAGGTGTCAACAAAGAGGCAGGACTGTGAGGATGCTGGGCCTGGAGTCAGGAGATGTGGTTTTCTGCAAAATCAGTCAGAGGGGCTTCTCAAACTTGGGGCCACACGACTCCTTTCAGAGGAACTGTTTTGTGCACTTAGGGGTGTCTCCAGATCTTGCCAGCGTCTCCTGAGGGACCGAGTGGGCTTGTCAGGGAAGCTATGCTGTTGCAGAACTCTGTTGGTGCCTGGACCCCCAGAGCACATACAACAATATGAACATAATTTGGGAGGGAAAAGAGTGGCCCTGAATGGGAGCACTGATCTTGGCTACTAAAAGTTAGGGTTCATTTTGTGGGGAGACACTGTTAACACAGGAGGGCTCCTGGGAGGTCCTTGATCGGTCCTGAGGACATGGTGGGTTCAGTTTGTGAAAGTCCTTCACTTAAAATAAGTACTTTTCTGTATGGATGTCACACAGAAAATAGGTATAAAGTATTAAAGAAGAAAAATAAAAGGCCAGTTTGATTCTGGCCAAGCCCCAGTGTCCACCCCTGCCGGCTGCTTCCTTAGCCCCACAGAGAAGCCGCCCACCCTGCCTGGTCACCGGGGCTGTTTGGTAAATACTCCGTAAGATAAAGTATGCCAGCGTCCCCTACAAGTCTCTGAGTACAACACAACTGTGAGATCCATTCTGCAACTAAAGCGGATGAAGCTCATTTTCACAAACTACAACCCAAGTTGAAAACAAAATCAAACGGGACTAAACAAAAAGAAGTCAGCACGCACTGCACAGGGGGAGCTGAGCGCTGTCGCGCGCTGGCCGCAGCACCTCCAGGGGCGGCGGGCGGCGCACCGCGCGCTGCCAGGGGCAAGGCGGGGTCCAGGCTGTACCTCAGGCGGCGCGGGCGGCATGCTCACCTCCTCCTTCATGCCGGTCTCCAGGAGCAGCATGACGCAGGCCTCAATGGGGAGCGCGATCTCCCGCCCGCTGCGCTTCAGGTGTTCTTCCAAAGGAGTCCCAAAGGCTGGCTTTTCCGCCCACTTATCTAGAGCAGCAAAGCCCCCAGTGAGACACCCAGCAATGCCAAGCACCACCAAGTTATTTCCTCCCCAAGCCACCAGAAGGAATCTTTTTTTTAGCACGCTGGATTTGAGGCTCTGGGAAAAGGAGCACCATCTGCCTCATTTACTTCTGTCCTCACCCTTCACTGGAGCACAGAAGACGGCCAGGCTGGGGGCATCACCTGCCCCACGAAGCCCTGATGATGCCATGAGGCGCCGGCGGTTGCCCAGAAGCCCCTGCTCGGCCCACTGACACACCACTGCCCCAGCTACACCAGGAATTGACCTAAGCATCCTGTTTTCACTGACAAGAAATTTACTCTAGCCATGCAAAGCGGCACTGGCCTTTCTTTCACAGAAGGAACAGCCTCCTTCAATGTGAAAAAGAAAAGAATCTGCTGAATTCTAAACACAAGCCAAGCACCCTCACACTAGTCTGGAAATGGCTAGGTGAGCGGGGACAGAGGTCACATCGCCACCACATGCAGTGTCGTGTCCCAACCGGTCCAGAAGATTAGGGTGGGAAAGGACACACAGCTGCAGCCCAAAGCAGCTTAGGCGGCAAAGCAGCACCTGGGGTCATTTCTAGGTCATAGGTTCTGCTTCATTCTACAGAAGACTTGAGGCAGCTGAGCAAAATACACTAAAGGAGGCACTGAGACAGAAGCAAGGATTCAGAAGTTGCGTGAGGGAGAAGTGCTGGTGGGTCAGCCCGCCGGAGGGAGTGGAGGGACCTGGCGCTAGCCAGGAGGCGCGGAGAAGCAAGGGGGGACCAGCGCCCGCCGCCGAGGCTGATCTCCCAGCGCCGAGGCTGATCTCCCAGCGACAGGAGGGCTCACGGCCCTCCCGGGCTGCCAGGGATGGCTGCTACTGGACCTTTGGGTTCAGAGTAGACAATACTTCTCTAGTGTATGACACGCTCAGCTGCCGGCACGTGTAAGAGCAGATGCAGGTGCATCTGCCAGAGGGGAAGGAAGAAAAGTGAAATGCCACAATCTAGAGATCCGAGCATTGTGAAAGCTAAAAACAGGAAGAGCAAGTGGGCGCAGATGGACGAATGGGGGCGGGAGGGAGGCAGTGGACACCCAGGCAGGCAGCCCTCAAACTGTGGGCGCCCCTCTGTCTTGGGCCCCAGGGCCCTGGTCAATAGAAAAGACCATCCAGGGCCTGGCCCTTCTCTGAGGCAGATCTTACCTCAAATCTTGTATTCCCTTTATCTAAAATACGGATTTTCAGTACGGGCAGAAGTGTCCCCAAGATCCTACCCCTGGGACACATCAGAATCCCCCATGGGAGTTCTGCCAGTGGCACCTGTCACTCCTCCACCACATGCACCATCCTGTGAGGCAAGAGCCAGGCATTCTCCAAATGCTGGAACTTTCTAGCAAACACTGGAAACGTGCCCCACCTTGGTGTAATGCTGATACTGGGTGGATCTGAGAACCAGGGACCCAAGACAACTCCTGAGGTGACCCCAACCCGCTGCTGGCCTCACACAGCAGACCTACTATGTGCCGGGCACTGCAGCAGACACGCAAAGTTCAGAGACTCACTGCCCCAGGGAAGAGAGACTGAGACAGTGAAGAAGGTACGAGGCACACATGTGGACACACAGTAGTAATAACCTGGCACATGGCTGAGTCACGGCAGAGAGATGGGGGGCGGGGAGGGCCGGAAAGGCCAATGTCTCCACAGAGCACCGCGGGGGCTGGTCTGCCTGGGGCCTGCGGGCTGAGGCAGCTGCTGCACCTCGTGCCAGACCCACCGGCCACACAGGGAAGCCAGCCAGGCTCTGAACTTTCAAAAGAAGCCAGAAATTAGGATTGCTATATCAAAGAACTTGGTGTTTAAATGATGGCAAGTCATTTTTTAAAATCTTTCTAATGAGGTGAAGACCTTAAATGTCGGAGCAGCTCAGGAGACCAGGGTTCACTGACATCAGCTACGAGAGAAGACTCCTCACATGAGGGGCGCACGGGGGTCTCGTAGGACAGAGGGCGGTTAAACAGGCTGGGAACAGCCCGGCGAGCTTGGGCCTGGGGACCCAAGACTTGACTCTTCACACATGAGGTGGCAAGGACGAGAATGCGGTGGGGAGGAAGGTGCAGACCCCAGCGATTGAGCGTGAAAAGGAGAGAGGGCGCCGAGGCTTCCAACCTGCAGCACTGGCAGGGGGGCGCCACGGAAACAAGGGGGCAGCCCAAGGGCAGAGAATCTGCTTTGAGAGCCACCAGGGGCCGAGCCGAGGGGACTGAGGTGAAGAGCAGCTGAGAGCGGGCGGGGTCCACGCCGGGCCGTCGAGGCGTGGGGGTGCCGGGAGGAGGAAGAGAGCAGAGCCAGGACTGGAGCGCGCGGAAGGCTGACTCCTGGGGCAGGGCCCAGGTGGGGACACGTGAAAGGACACAGTCAAGCGGAGCAAGGGGGTTTCCCACGGAGAGTCGGCCCTGAGGGCGCAGTGCTTCTTCCCAGCAGCAGCGCCCCTGGAGGAGAAAGCAGACTTCAAAGTGTTGAGAGTGGACAACGATGAAAAAGTGGGGGCCACTGAGGAAAAGGAGACACGCGCAGGATCTGCCAGAGGAGTGGTGGACAGAGCGGCCGGTGGGGGCTGAGCCGGGGCGGCAGGCCCGGGCGGCGGGTCATGCTGGGCTGCTGCTTTCCTGCTGTGCAGACACGCTGCTGAGTGCCTCTAACACAGAGGAGGGGACAGGAAGACAGGGCGGAGGTAGCCACGGGACAGGCAGAAGTGGGAGGGGCGGGCCCCAAGGTGCCTGCAGCAAGCTCACACAGAAAGAACGGTGGAGCCTATTTACCTCCCGGGCTGCTTCCCATGACTTTCTGACATGCTTCTCTAGGAGAAACAGTCTTGGAGGAAAAAACAGGATTGAAAGTAAAAAGAAAAGAGGACGGCACAAGAAAGTGTCCTCTCTGCGTGCTCACCAGGCAGTCCTTCCTGACCAGGCTTTAGGCCGAGCCGGCGGGCAGGAGCTCACCCTACGTGGCGCACAGTCGGCATCCACTAAAAGCCAGCCCTGTGCCCTGGCTCCCCATCCAGGCTGAGCCCCTCATCATGACCCTGCCCCACCAGAAACCAGGAAACTAGATCCCGAGGGCAGGACGGCAGCTTGTCCTAGAAAGAACAGGCGAGGGAAAGGGATGCTGCCCTTGGGGGTGCTGAAGGCCTGGCAGGTGATCAGTCAAGAGAGAACTCCCTAATTCCACACTCCAAAAACTCCCAGGCACCAAGCCAGAACCTGCTGGGATTCCCTAACTGAGCGGAGAAAGTGGCATTTCTGAGGGGGTGGTGTGGGTGCACAGCCATAGCACACACCCCCACTTGCTCTGGCTCTCTCACTCCTCAGGGTTATCACACTTAGCACCAGCGCAAGACCGTGGTTCCCAAACTCCAGGGACTCAAACTCCAAAAGTCAGGTCTACGGCACAAGCAAAATAACTGAACCAAAGACAACAGCGATTTCTGCCCCTGCAAGGTTTCCGCCTCTCTGCTGGTAAATCAGAGGAATTAGAATCAAACATTTCAATGTTCTATTAAGGCTAAACATTCAGTCCATTTGAAAAGTGTGGGCAATATCAGCGATGTGCTGGAGTACAGAGGGAGGAGAGGCGATCTGGAAGCTGTGGTCACGGTCTGACCATCCGATCACACCCACTCAGTGCCTGATGATGGGCATCAAGTACTTGCTTCTCAATTTCTTTTGGAAAGTCCAAAATATTTCCCCTAGAATGGTTGTTCTTAGAGCCCCAGGGGGAGAATAAGCCCTGTGATGTAATTTAAAGAGGTAATTAGAGGCTAGGATTTTTCAAGCCTATTTAGAAGAGAGAAAAAAACAGAGCTACTCCCCCCAAGATTTTCAAAGATTTCAGAAATGTAAACCGTGTCATTAGTATGTTAATTTGGGTTTGGAAGGAATTAAAGAATGCAGCAGGGAAGATGAAATTATGCCAAGAAGTAGTGCCCCCTAAGCAGAGAGGCATGCAAAGGGGTCAGGGCGGAGATCAGAGCCAGAGGGGCAGAGGCGAGAAGAGGCACCAGCCCGCACCCGGTTACATTACCTTGATGGGCTCGCATTTCGGGAAGGGCCTTTTCTAAGACTGCTAATGCTTTTCTATGGTAATCTGCTTGGGCTTCTAATAACTGAGAACAGACCCACATTCAAAAACAAAAGTAACGTTAGCATCGGATGGACACACACACAATGGCTGAGCAAAACCAAAAAATGAAATCTTTGCTGAAAAGCTAAAATGACTGAATTTTTATAATGCCTTGACATGGTGCCAAGGCAGGGTGCTTACCGTCACGAAGAATTTGCCATACTCCCCTTCTTTGGCCATGAAGTTGTACATGTCTGCTGCAAGCTGATCCTGGGTGTGTGGAAGAGAAGAGAGTCAGTGAGAATAAAGAGCTGGAAGAACGTGGCCTCTAAGAATTACATCTCCATGAGCTTTTAGTACAAAATGTGATGGCGACAGCCACAGATCAAACATCCATCCATTCTGAGCAAAATCATATGCTGGGCCAACAAACCAATAGGCAAGTTTATTATGTATTCACATGGGAAGACCTCCAACGTATGTGGGCAGTGTGTCTTGTTTAGAAGAACAGAGCATTATGTGACATGGTCAAAAAAAGTGAGGAAATACATTAGATTTTTATTGCCCTGTTAGTACAAAAATACCTCTGGACGAAAAAACAAGAAATCAGTTAGCAGTGGTTACCTGTTGGGAACAGTGAAAATGAAGCAGGAGGAGGATAAGGGTGGACTTTACCGCATAGAGCTTTCAGCTTTTGGTATTTGAACAAGTGTTAATGAAGGACTTACAGAAAGGTTTTCTAAAAAAGTGAGCGATTGAGCAATTATAAATATGTCTTCTGTTTTCAATATCAAAGTACACAAATGCACATGAAGTTCCTCACTTGTGAAAAAAATCTGGAAATGCTAATTAAGAGTAACAAACATGCCTTCAGAAAACCTGGGAAGCAAGTCAAGTCAACTCCTGGAGTCCCCCACACCTCACTCCGAAAGAGAAAGGGGTGGGAGGAAACCATGGGGAAGCTGGGGCTACCCTGGGGCACTTGGGTATTTTGGTCACATTTTAGAATCTATCATACTTTAATTTTTTAAAAAGTTTCATTCTGGTTATAAAGCTAATGTTCGAGTCTTAGAAAATAAAGAAAGCCCACCCTCCGTATCATTTGACCTGCTAGCAAATCAAAGCTTGTATACTGTTGGTAATTTATAGTATTTGACTTTACAATCATGATTTGCAAAAACCAAGCTATCAATGCAAATACACATCTACTAGGGAACTCTCATACCTTGCACTGTTCTACTTTATTTCCAGCTTCATCCATTTCTTCCTTTAGCGTATCTATTTTTGATGGGAGCCCCTGAAAGTTGGTTCCTGAAGACTTGTGGGCCTGGTTCCACCTGCAAAACACGGGCAAGGGCCAGTATCTGAGCACCGGCCGCACAGTCAACCTTGAGGTGTCCTGGACCTAATGGAGACGGACTCCTTTCCCCAGGTGAATTCTCCCTGGGGTGGGTATGAGACCTCAGACACCTGCTTCCCCTGAGTTTTCCACTAAGGGAGGAAGGAGACAAGAATCAGTGTGTACTCAGGACTCTCAAGGTGCTGGGAGCAGCTTTCTGATGAGCATAGTCGACCACATCTTATCTCACACACTCTCCACTGCTAAAATCAGCCCACGATTTATCCCTTTCTTGCAGAGTCTGATCATAGGATCCTTGTTAGGAGCCGTCCCTTGCTCTGATCTGGAATAAAATCAAACCCTGTGCCTTGGAGTCAGTCACTGCCCTTGAGGACCCCTTATGAACCTTCCTACTTCCATCCTACCCTGTAATTACCAGTAGTCAGAGCTGCAGCAATGCAGGTAGCAATCTGTAGTTATAAATGGGTGTAAAGCAATAAAAGCATTGCCAAGAACCAATATTCTAAAGACAGTATCTATAGCAAACCTGAAATGTAATGAGGAACATTTACACTCCCTTTTCAGTGAGTCAAAGGATTGGGTGCGGGGATCATACTACAACAGTAGAAAGTACCTGGGGTAAAACTTTAAAACACTTTCTGTTGCCACGGGTGCTTTACCTACCTGAATAAGGCATGTCTGCTACTGTATAGAACACTCAACTGAAACGTGGATACCACAGAGATGCAGCATGAAAGCTCAGGGCAGCAACTTCGCAAGCCCCGACTGCTGCATTGCCAAAACGCTCTATCTCCCCTGATCCGTGTCCAGAAGCGAGATGCTCTTGCAGAACGGCTTCAGCGTGCCCGCCAAGACACCACGGGCAATACCATGTAGTAGAGAGAGCACTTTGGAGTCTGACATGCCCAAGTCTGAAGCTCGGCTCTGCCTACACTAGCGGTGTGACCTTGTGCAATAACCTCTCTGCATGACAGCTGGTTCACCTGGACAACTAAGGGAGCAACTGCCTGCCTTGCAGAACTGTCACAAGAGTTGAGGAGTCTGTGTGTGTGTAGGTGTGTACGTGTATATACAATGTCTAGCATATAACGAATTCCTAGTTAAAGTTAGCAGTTACTATTTTCCTCCAGGGAGGGAAGAATCACAGGAATAAGTAAAAGTAAAGAAATAGTCAACTGCCCCAGTTCCTGCCGGGGTGCCGCACTGCAGATGTAAAACCCCAGGGAGGCAGGCCCACCACCTGCCAGGGAGGGCTCGCGCGCGCCCCCCTGAGTAGCTAGCCATTGCAGCACTCTTCCTTAGCCTGAGCAAAAACTGAACCTTGCGGAGGCCTCTACCACAGCCTTGGTCCTTGCCCAGAGGCTCTAATCATAGGATGCATGTAGCCAAGAGAAGGCAGACTGGTCAGAATGGTTCCCTCACTTGCTATTTCTCAGACCTGAAGGAAATCCTGCGGATGGACACCTCAAGACATTCTCATCTGTAAAGCAAGTCTCCTCTCAAAGTGGGGCGCTACCTCTCCTGTGAGCCCAGTGCCCCTCAGTGCCCAGGAAGGGCTACTGCATGTGGCATCCAGTTCTTGTGCACATTACGCCCCCAAATGCTCTCTACTCAAAACAAGTGCTGAGCGAGTCCGATGAGCTGGCCCAACTCGGACGCAGCTGGACACCTGGCAGGTGCCGGACGTGGCGGCCGCCTTCACCCCGCCATGCATTCACTGCTAGATGCCCTCCTACTTGTCAACAAGGCAGCGCAGCCGTGTGGGTCTTAGCCCAACAGCCCCTCGGCGTGGTGAAGGTCCCACGCCGACTCCTACCCTGCACTCTGCCAACAGCAAGGCTCTTGGAAGGATTTGCCCTGAAAACACTTACTTAGATTTTCTAGTTCCTACTTCCTCTCACTGCTGGTTCACAGAGAACAGATGTTCTCACAGCCCCCGCCACGTTTGGGAGAATGAGGCCTCAAGGCTGGTGTCTGGCTGGCTGGCCTGCGGGCCCAGGGTGTGGGCCTCTGTTCACACCCCATCTGTTCGCTCGGCCTGGCCCTCATCGGTGTGGTGGCCGGGCATATGGTATAACCTTAGTTACTGGTTAATTTTACAGCCCCACCTTACCTGGCTCTGACCGAATCCCAGTCCAACACCAATTTAGCAAGCTGTTTCCTCTGTTTTTGGATGTTGGGAATCTCCACCTAGAAAGAGGGACATGCCACATACCAGATGGGACCAGCTCCAGGGTTTTGAGCTTAATAATTGAAGGCCTGAGAGTTATTTACAGGTTTTTTTCTCTTCAGCAAAGGCTCTTATATCCTGATTCCCCCTCCCCTTCCACCCCAATTTCCAAAAAGAAGCGTACACCAAAGCCAGTGATTACTGATAACGTTCTGGACACAAGTGGACATTCCCTGGCCCAGCCCGTGTGCTGTGGCTCCTCCCTGCTGCCCAGGAGCGCACCCACCTCGGCAATGAAGTACAGTGGGTCCACAATCTCCTTCTCGATAAAGACTTCGTGCTGCGAGAGCTCCAAGGCCAGCTGATTCTCAGCATCCCCACACGTCTCCAGCATCTTCCTTTAAAAACAAGAAGACCCACAAGAAGCATGTGCTCGTGATCCCGGCGTTCAGCCCAAGCGCCGCTCTGCTCAGTGTGAGGGAGCTCAGCAGGCGCGGGGCGACACCTAGAACCTGGGCCACAGGCCTGTGCTCTGCAAGGAAAAGACCGTCTTGGGTCCACTTTGCAGCATGTGCGGGTGCGCGTGCGGGCAGCCCCTCCCTCGGGGGCTGCTCAGGGCCAGTGGGAGCCAAGTCTCAGAAGCACCCGCAAGGCCAAGTCCTACATAGAGTTGGCTGTGTGTTTTCTGTCTGTGAGCAGGACTTGCCTGGGCAGGGTCTCGTCCCACATTCAGACAGGGTGGGTTTCTACCAGACAGAGGGGTAGTGGGACGCTGCAAAGGCTACGTGACATGAAAATCACATTTCCTTTTGCTTTCCTGTGAGCATGGGATGGGTCATAATCAGGGCACATGCAAATGAGGTCGCTGCATGTCTCTGCCCTCTGGCCCTCTCTTCCTTTCCTCCCGCTTCCTTTCCTGCAGTCCCAGACATGGCTGGAATTGGACATGTGTGTGGCGCTGGCAGGTGGTGACTGTGAGATCTATGGCTATGAACATGGTTTCTGCCAGCGCTCATGAGTTTATAAAAAAGCCTTTGCTGGCCCTCCCTGGTGGTGCAGCGGGTTAAAGCACAGCACTGAGAAGCTAAAGCCACTTCCGCATGAGTTCGATCCCCGCCTGCCCCGGAGGTGACCACATGGCGTGGCAGACCTCTCCTGACCCGCCCGCTGCTCCCCTCAGCAGTGTACTTCGTCGATCTGCCTGTTCTGCTCCTCTCTCTGTCTCTGGTGAATCCTCTCACCCTCCACATTTCTGGCCTGTACCCTAGTTCCATATGAATAAATAAATAAATCTTTAAAAAAAAAAAAAAAAGCCTTTGCTGTTTACCAGCCCCACGGTCTTGGGCATTTTACTTAGTCTCTCTGTTAATTTCCTCAATTGTGAAGTGGGGTGAACTTTAGCTCTCCGGTTGTCCTGAGCGCGCAATGAGGTGCTTCCGGGAAAGTACTTCCCACAGCAGCAGCACGTGCAGGCCGGCGCCCAGTGTGGCGAGGGGGCGCCGGTGTGGGGCAGGCTGGACAGGAAACATGCCCATGCTGCCCGCTTCGTCCACGCTCCCAAGTGGGTACTCCCCGAGTTGGGAGCCAAGAGGAAGGAGACCGGGCGAACAGGTGGGCACTCCGTGTGGAGGCCCAGAGGCTGGCCCAGCACACGCAGGCCCACGGACAGCGGGCGCAGGGGGCTAAAGGGCACCTCCCTCAGGAAGGGTGACCCTTCCCCCATACAACAAAAACAACCGCGTCGTTAGATCTTAAGTTGTAACATATGCCCACTGCGGGGGGGAAAAAGCCAAATGATTCGGAAAATACATTGTTCTGACGATCTGGTGGCCATGGCAGAGGCAGACAAGCCTGAGACTACAGGGGCTTGGTCGGAGGCCATAAATTTGAGTGGACACCTGGAGCCTCTTAGGGACGCAGCTCTTCATCCCCAGGCTCAGGCCATAAACACGGAGCCTGTCAACTGCTTTCTGCAGCCCCGTGTAGCCTCCACTCTGTCGCCCCCCTAATCCCCCCCCAGCTGCTCTCCCGTTAGGTGAGTCACCCCACTCTGGTCACACAAGTGGCCGTGTCCTCACACAGCCATCCACCTCCTCTGGCCCTGTGGGTACCCGGCTCTTTCTGAGGGGGTGACTCTTACCCCAGAAGACAGTCCTCCAGCTGGGTCGATGCTTCTTGCACATTCTGAGCCAAAGCAGTCAGGGGGAGCTTTTTCTGAAAGATAGAAAACAGTGTGTTTTTCCATTATGATTGACACCCACTGTCAAATACCTGATGCAGGGCATTGCTTGACATTTTCTCCTCCAGACAAAGTGCACGGAGGTTCAGGTTCTGGCCTCGAATGTGTGGGGCCTGTGACTGGGCCTCTGAGTCCGCCTCCTCATGCTTGCATGCTGGGAGGAAGAGCGCCTGTGTCCTGGGGCTGCCTACTGAAGGAGACTCCCAAGGTCAAGTCCTAGGTAAATTGCAGTTGCTGTTATTGTTGTTGTTACCACACTAATGAATGAGTCTGGTGCACACTAGTCCCAGGCCCTGGGGACACAAGACACAGATCTTGCTGCCTGACTATTACGACAAACAAATGAAAAAAAAATTGATCGGTTTACAAAACTTGATAGAATTAGTCATTCTTCCATCAGCGCTTAGTTTGGCTGTAATCAGCTAAAGCTGTAGTTAAATATGGAGAAATGATCTTGTAAAATAGCAAGAAAGTGTCCCTGGAGTGTTTAAATTCAAAATCCCCATCTTCCTATCAGACTTGATTTCCAACTGGGAATGACCACAGGATCATCTGATCAGCACCCACCTGGACAAGGACGCCTGCCGCCCTGGAGGGTAGGCAGCCGGGCCAGGCTGCCCGTGAGGGGCAGCAGAGCCATGCCTGGGGGAGGTCTATACCCCAGTTCTGAGTCTCTTTGTCACTGGCTGGTGGCTTATCTAAGGACATGGGGAGAAGAGGCCTGGAAAACAAGGAGTTGGCCTGAACACCACACTGCGAACAAACCCGCTTTCCACGCTGCAGCGCCCCAGGAAAAGGGCACCCCCGCCAAAGACACGCCTCCCCAGTGCAGCCCTCAGCTCTGGGCATCGCCTGTCTTTCTTGCATTCAAAGGGCTCTATCCTATACTTATACATGTGTTTACTTATATGTATAGAGTATTTGTGGAAGGTATTCAAGAAACTGCTAACACTGGTGGTTCTGGAGAGGAAACTGGGGTCCCCAGGGAAGGGGACTAAGAGATTTCACTGTCTGCTCTTTTGTATATTTTGGATTTTGGCCACGGCAATGTATAGCATATTCAAAACAGTAAACTGAAATTTAAAAATATATAATAGAAATACCTATAAATATATTTGCCTACCTCTTCTCCCCGCCACCCCCCCCCCAACCAGGTTATTTACAAACAAATAATTAACAGACATCATATCCTCCCTGTCCCCTGGAAATCATTCCAGGCGTCCACACATCTAGTCTAGGAAGAAAGCAAAAAACGGGCAGAGCACTTTGACCATCACAGAGAATGAGTCATATACTTTAGTTACGCTGCTTTTCTAAGGTCATGTAAATGTAGGATAAATGCAGTCATCAAGAGACATATGCTTTGTGCAACTTTGGGGAGTTCAATGAGTTGGTGGGAGAAAAACAATCAGCTAAAAGGGAGTCTATGCTGAAGAGCGTGATTCAGGTCCCACCGTTAATAGCCCAGGTCACAGCAGCTCTGAGTCCTAACGTCACAAGGAAGGTCCTTCTCCTGCTCAACACGTAAGTCCGTTAATGGACACTGTTTACCAACCTCAAACTCCTCCACAGAGGGCTGAGACCTTCAGCTGATGTATCACCAGGGCTTCATGTAAGAAGCCATGATTTATGAAATCTGTGTATAAAAGAAATTAATAGCAGGCCTAATACAAGATACACCTTGGCTCTGTGAGCTGATGGCTCGAGCGGGGCAGGCTACCAGCTCCGTCTCTCCTCCCTCATTTCTTGCCCCTTGCACGGCCGGCCCTTTGGAGGTTCCCACTCTTGGACCCACAGTCCTGGAGACTGATTTTCCCCATAATGTGGGCCCTCTTGTGATCATCTATCTCTTTATTGTCTCCATGGCGGCTGCTCTTCCCACATGCAGCATGTAGGCATTCTCAGAGCCCCGCCTTTGACACTCACATTTGAAGTTGGACAAGAAGGTTAAGGCATCAGGTTTTAAAAAATAAAGGCCAGGTCTCTGCTGGAACATACCCATCATCTGCCACTCTTCCCCTCCTTTGTAGTTGAGTTACCACCTCCTCCAGGAAGTCTCACCTGATAGCCTCCCCTCCTTGGTGCCCATTCTTGGTCCTCCCATAAGCCCTGTGCATGTTTTGCTGCTCTGCAATTATCTGCTTGTGTATAGTACCACCCAGGCCACAAGCACCTCTCAGGCAGAGACCCTATTCACTCATTTTGTGTCTCCAACACTAGTGCATAGGTTTTTCATAAATGTTTTTCAATTTATTTGTTTTAAGTGAATACACGTGACATCTGGGCTGAGTCTTAGCAGACAAAAGGAACAACGCATAAGTGAGTGAGGGACACTGGGAGTGGAGGTGGCCAAGGAGCTTTCATCACAAATGCTATCAGATTATGGAGGGTTTCAGTCATGCCAGAGAGCTTGCACTGTAGTTGAGGCAACAGGAATCAGCCAGTGTCCCTCCAAAGAGCGCCATGGGCATTATGGGGTGCTTTCTGTAGGGCTCTCTCCTCCAGGCACACCAGAAGGTTTAGTATCTTAGTGCCTATCCTCCAAACGCCAATATCGTTCCCCCAGTCTTTTGGGAAACCAAAAACATCTCCACCATTTCCAGATATCCCTAAGAATATCCCTTGTTGAAAACACTCAAGATTTTTTCTTTGAAGGCAAGAACATGACAGGACTAATTTGTATTCACGAAACCAAATCTGGTGGTCAGGCTGGAGATAGACCAGAAAAGAGAGAGGAATGGAGACTGGAAAGGCAGCTCAGGAGGTGAGTGCAATACGCAGGTGAGAGGAAATCAGGCCTGGCATCAGACACGGTGGGGCAGTGGAGTAAGGGATTCAGAAAATACTCAGAATCACCGTCTTGCTAATCACGGAGCTATGAGAGGACGAGGATAAAGGGAGAGCCCCAAAGTTTCTATCTTGCATAACTGGGTGGATGGAATTCAAAGTCAACCCGGAAGGAACAGGTTAAACATGTTAAAATAACATCTAGGGGAGGAAGTTCTTGCCTGGCTGAAAATGATTTATAAGTCTCTGGCATAAACATGCCAGTCAGAAGCCGCAAGGACAGAGAGCTGGCCCAGGGAATGTGGCAGCGAGGCTAACGGGGGGAAGGGCAGAGCCGTAGGAGACAGACGTAAAAGGCAGGCAGGGGAGAAACTGGGCAGCGGGCAGCAGCCGCAGGGCAGGCCCACTGGATGGGCTGGTTCTGATGGATGGGCCGGAGCGCCTTCCTGGAAGCGAGGGTGTATGCAAACTTCCAGTCCTCTGCTACACTGAATTGCAGAGTCCTAAGTATGGTGCAAGAGAGGGAGTCACCCTGAGGTCAAGGCGCCCGTCCATGTATGTAGGACGTGTTCGAGAGAGGGGGCACCAGTCACCCGCATGCCACTCTTCTGTTTGAGACATCCGGTGACAAACAAAACAATATGGCAAATCGTAGCTTCCTGTGTGCCACTGAAGCTTGCACCTCAATATTACACAGGCCTCGATGGCAAGTCCATGCTGACGAGCTGGGAACTTGTAAAGCAAGGCCAGGACTGCCTCAAGAAAGAAAGCTGCTGCTCTCCTGGTGGTCTACGACATGCTCTGAATAAATGCAGCGCAGACACCCCTTGTGTCCGTCCTGCTTCCTTTCTAGAACAGAAGCCTGCTTTTCTTAGGATCTAACGGTCTCGCCAGAGCCTATGAACTGGAGGTAGAGCCAGACCTGTGCCCGGAGGCTGGGCCCTGACCAGCTAAGCATGTCAGCACAGTCCACCTACTGGCCATCGTCTCCTCTGCCCCTGGTAACAAGGGTGGAGTGGGAATGTGACGTGACACAGATCAATGTAGTGGGAAGAAACTTTTGCTTGCCAAGGGCTTGGAAAAAGATGTTTCTCATTCCATTAAGAAATCTACTGGAAGCGTGCTCTCTATTCCTGCGAGGAGACATGCAGCCTGCGAAGCTGCCAGAAGCCGGCCGTGACCGGAAAGGTGCCCGCTGAGGAGAAAGCAAACAGTGGAGACGACAGAGGAGACGGCCAGGAGCTGGATTCCAGGTTACATCACCGAAATGTTAGACCAAGTCTTCCCCACTCTGTGCCAATTTCTAGATTTTTCAGTTAGAAAGTCAGCAAATTACTTCTACTTTCTAAGTCAGCTTAAGACAGGTTTTCAGCCTTTGGGCCAAAGGATTCCAAACCGATATTTCCATTCCTCTTATCAATGACAAATGGCTTTAGAAGCACCTGGAGAAGTCCGCGTGAGCAGGGCTTCCAGCTCTGTGGTGTGCTAAGCACAGAGGAATGTTCTGGTCAGGCTGGTGTTGTGTGAACAGAGATACCAGGCACTAACCTACAGGCACCTCTGCCACTGCTGCCTGGGAAAGCCTGCAGGCTGGTGACCAGCACCCGCCCGCCCGCCCGCAACCCCGCACTCACGTGTCTCCGCTCCGTGTCGGTGCCATGCTGGCCCTGGAAGCAGGCCATCAGGCGCTTGTGGGACTGGTGGCACATCGACCGCACCGTGTCCAGGCGCCGCTCAATCTGGGGAGACAGACGGAGGCCGTTGGCGGGCTCACGACCAGCACAGCCCCCACTGGCAGCCTGCAGGCCAGCAGGAGCAGCGCCCCGTTGCCTAATGTCTTAGCTTCTGGGTGTCAGTGGAAGTGGTTCCCAGCAGGGTTTATGACGCTGGAGTTACAGAGTTGTGGGGCACAGTCCGTCCTTCAGCATGGGCTTGGGCCTCTCTCTATCTGACGAGAGCCAGTGGTATCCCCTCCCCCAGGTGTGACAGCCTGAACTGTTCTCAGACACAGTCAAATATGCCCCTGGTTGTGGCTGAGAACCACTGACTGACCGCCTGTACACTGAGGGGCCCGGGTCCTTTAAAGGCCAAATCTGTGGGACAGTCTTGCTGAGACCTGCCCAAAGAGCGTGGGGGCAAGTCGAGGCACAGGCAAGGGTGCCCACAGGTCCAGCCAACAGAACTGCAAACGAGCACACTGGGCCCAGAACCAGACCAGGTGGAGCGGGAGTCTTCCAAACATCAGCATGTCAAACAGGAGAATCAAAATAAACGTTCCACAATTTAAACTGAAGCCCAGAGTCTTCAAAAATGATCCCTTATCGGATTGGGTGGGTTTTCATTTTGACTGTTCTCTTTTTTTTTTTTGATCTTACAAATAAACATCTAAGCAGAATGGCCAGCCCTAAGAAATACTGATTTAGGGGACCCCACGCATCATGATTAACTTCCCAAAATATTATCGCTGGGAGATGGCTGTTTATGGCAAAGAAAGCTGCTTTTTACAGGAAGGAATGCCAAAAATGTGTGTTCTGATGACTCATTAAGAATGTGAACAGGCCCTCTGGGATGCTTTCTATTTTAAAGAAAAATCAACAAATTCAAAGCAGAATGCATTTCTACCCCAAACATCTCATGGGGGGGGGGGGGAGTATTACGCCTCTTTCTCAAAGGTCCTCACTGCCCCAGCTTTTCTCAGATCCAGGTGATCTGCCTGGCACATCTACACTGAGGAGCGGAGCATGTGACCTTCCCAAACCTTAGAACGGCTAGACTTTACAACATTGGAAAACTACAGCCATGTGCCAAAAGGGCAAAAAAAAAAAAAAAGAAAGAAAAGAGAAGAAGGAAAAAGAGCCGCCCCAGCACTCCCTTCCCCTTTGGCCCCCAGCCCCAATGGAGTGTGAAGCGGGGCTGGGAGCTGGTCTGCTGTGGTCACTGGTGCCTCCTGCGTGTGGGACACTGGCACAGGGCAGACCAGGTTCCCTTTGGAGGTTGAAAGCACAGTCTGTATGGAGTCCCTGTGCAAAGTACTAGAAAAACAACAGCAAACAGCGGAGGGGGGGTTCCCGCTCCCCTGGGGCAACTCCATCCAAGGAGAATCAACAGGCGGCTTCCTGAATTGCTTTAACAGACATCTCAGAAAAGATGTAGCAGACACCTACAAGTTAAGACAACTACCCTTAACTTGCTAAACGAAGCGACACATTCCCGGTGCTTTCCAGACTCACCTCTAGCCCCTTTTATCAGTGCTAGGGATGGATACCACCCTCACAGTAGAACCTGGAAACTGAGGCACAGGGAGACCATAAAGCTAATGCAGGCAATCTTTGATGGCCAAGCAGGCAGCTGGACACTGGACTCCACCCCTTTAACCGCTACTTCCCTTCTTAATAGAGAAAAGACCAGAAATGAAAGTAGGAAGACATGGCAGATACAGTGGAATTTCTAGAAATTGGCCAAATTCTCAGGCCCCAGTGGAAGTCTGAACAAGGGACAGACAGTCAAGGCCCAGCTCCATGAGAACTGCATTCCCAAGGTGCCCATGAGGACCTGGCCACTTCTCAGGGCTGCTGGGTTAAGTGAGAGCAGGCTTGTTAGTGATGGGGAGGAAGAATGCCACATGAAATCTCCATTGAATGAAAGCTGATAACTTCCAAACAACTACTTCTGAAAGAGAGTTTGGAATATGTAATTCAAGGAGGAATTACTATTAATGATCCTTCAATAAATTTTTAAAAAATACCCTAACTTGGAATAAAAAAACTTCAAGTTCTCAAAAATTTTCCTGTAAATCTCCCACCTGCAGAAGGCGGTGTGTTTAGGGTGTGGCAGAAGCAGCACTCAGTCATGGCAGCGAGCACCCCTGCTGGTCACCCCAGTGGCCTCAGGTGGACCTGACAGTTGGCCACTGTCACCGAGACTCGGGCCAGGCCTCGGGGCAGCAGGGTGAAAGAGGGTGACAGACAAGAGTAGGTGGGAGGCTGTGGGGGCCTCCGCTGAACCCAGAGGGACCGTCCACCGGGCCTCACCCAGCAGGGGACCAAATCCCTGGCCACCCCAGCCGTGAAAGGGCACAGGGTCATGATCCACTGGCCGGTCCCTGCCCCTGCCCCTGCCCCAGCCTCCACCTGGTGCTGGACAGCAGGTAGAGCCCCCTCTGAGGCTCACAGAGGGACACCTGCGTTTCAGATCCCCTTTTAACGACCATGCAGCAACATGCTTTCTTTTCTGCTCAAAACCATGCTACTCAGTTTTCTTCTGTTTCAGGTGAAAAACTAAAGCACAACTTTGGTTCTCGCCTATGGAATTTTTTTCTTGATCTGCCTTTAAACGAGCATTTCTAAAAGACTATTTTGTTACCTGCAACAGATCTTCACTGAGTACTTCTGTCTTCTCAGCTCTGTGGGAAAAATGAAAAGTTTATAGTTAGAAATCCAGAAATGAAAAGCAACTCTTATTGTCCTGGAGTTTAAAAGCAAACAGGTAGAAATGAGTGGTAAGGGGGAAAAAAATTACTAATTTTTACACCAGAGGCAATTTAAACTGAAGTTTTCACTCTGGACAAGAACAAATGATCTCCACCACTGCACTCGAACTCAGGAACCCACAGACTCCCAGGGGCTGGGGCAGGGGAGGTGTTGAGTTAAAATGCCATTTTCCAGGCCTCCCCTCAATAATTTCTAAATCCACAGGCCTGCTGTGAAAGTCTGCCTTTCTAAGAAGCTCCTCCCTGCCCAGGATTGTACCACAGAAGGCCTACAGGCCAGATTTTGAGAGAAAACTGCTGCAGAGAGCTCAAGCTTAGGTGCTTAAAAGGATCACTTCTGAGCTTCACAGCCTTACTGAAGCAAGCTTGCGTGAACGCAGCTATGCACATACAGTAAGAACACCTGCGTAACCCCGACTTCAGATTTTTTCATCTCTATGTCAAGAAAATATTTTCACTTTCCCTCTTCTATTGCTTTAGAACTGCTCTTAGATTAACATCACTGACCTTCCCAGAAAACCACCGTGTTGGCCAGCAGTCAGCAGAAGAGCACTCTGGGCTGCTGGAGGCTCTGTGGCCAGGACACAAGAATTTCTTAAGATTCTGCTCTGCAGTTCATTCAGAAGGAAAGTGTCTCGTCACACAAAATACCCAGAAATGCTGTAATCATACTACCTGTCTGGACTTCTGCTTCAAACAGCAATTTAAGGCAAGCAATTTAACATCTCCACCAAAATTCCCAGTGAAATGAACAAGAACAGCATGAAAGTTTTGGGAAACTCCAGTTCAGCACTAACACTGGAGGGAAGGCCATCAGTGAACTCAAACACTAGATACACAGGCGAGAGGAAGGCTGTCAGGCTGGAACTGAAGGCTTCGACGTGGGTAAACACCCTCTCGCTCCCAGAGCAGCACCAGCCAGGGAGAGGGCGGGCTCACCCTCAGCCTACGCTCCAGCAGTGGCACTGTCCCAGGGAATTCCAGCACCGTGGTCACACAGTGCCCCAGTTAACTGGGAGAGGGCTGAGGGAGTGGCTCCCTCCCAGTTTCTGCAGGAAAGGAGGCCTCTGCTGTGACTCAGTGCCTCCCAGCTCCAGAGAAGCAGAGCCTGGAGACCAGATCAGGGCTCTGCTCCCAGACTTGACTGTCAGCCCCATGAACAACTTCTCAAGCAGCAGGCAAGAATAGCCTATCCCAGCCCTGGCTTGGCACACTCAATCCCTGGGACTGCTGGGGCATCCGACGCAGGCTGGTGTGGAGCAGAGTCCCGAGGACTGTAAACTCAAGCTACCAGGCCGCCAAAGACCCGAGAGTTAGTCTAGCTGGGACACACCTGGTACAAGGTAGCCTCTGGTTGCGTATTATTTATATTTGCATATTATTGATGAATAATGAGTGTTAATAAATACAGACAGGAGTAAATAGCAGAATAAGCAGCTAAAATTTGAAAGATGTGACCTCTGGGTTGAAGCGTCTCAGCTGGGAGAGCAGAGTGAGTGAGGTGAGAACTCAGTTCTCAGAGATTACGCTGTTTACCATCATCTAACTTCTTAAACTATGTGTACAGAGTTTCCAATTTTTAGCAACAGTATGTCCACCACTTTTTTATTGACAGGCTTGATGTGAAGCCTAACCTAACACTGAAGCAACAGACCAGCAACCAACTTGCACCAGTGTACACAGAACACCTGGTTGGTCCCCAAACCCAGGGCAGCCCAGTGATGTACCGCCCTGTTTTCCAGTTAACACTGGGTCCCTTTGCCTGAAATTTGGAGTCACACTACCTGGAGTGGTGTCTGGAGACTGAGAGATCTTAAGGAACATGTTTTTGTTTTTGTTTTTATGAAAATGTTAACATTGTTCAAAAATAACACCTCTTGTGTTTCCTGCCTTCGTGGATTTTATTGCCTTGATAAAATTAATTTTAGAAAGAAAGCTGGGGCATCTTCTTAATCAGAATGGAGGGTTTACTGAAACGATTAAAACTACCTTTGCCTGTTATTCAGGGAAAATCCCTTGCCCTCCAGCCCAGCTTTATTGCTTAAAATGCAATGGCCCTCCTGGTGGCGCAGCGGGTTAAAGCACAGCACTAAGAAGCTAAAGCCACTTCGCATGAGTTCGAAGCCCGCCTGCCCCAGTGGTGACCACATGGCACAGCAGACCTTTCCTGACCCGCCTGTTGACCCCCTCAGCAGTGTTCTTTATCGATCTGCCTGTTCTGCTCTCCACTGTCTCTGGTGAGTCCTCTCACTGCCCCTGCCTGTACCCCAGTTCTGTATGCCTGTACCCCAGTTCTGCACAAATAAATAAACCTTTAAAAAAATGCACACTGTGATGACCCAGTACACCTGTACCTCACCACCAGCAGGTTCGCAAGCACCATCACACCTGCACAGTTACCTGTTGTTAGCTTAGATTTCACATATGTGCTAAAGTGTCATTAACTACCATCACCAAATTGACTTTAGATTCTAGAACTTATCTTACACCTGAGGACCCAACCTTTCCCTAGCAATTTCCCCCTTCAGCCCCTGGTTGCCACTATTTTGCTCTGTTTCCATGAGTTCGAGTTTTACTTTTTTAATTCCATCTATAAGCAAGATCACACAGTATTTGCTTTCCTGTTTGGCTCCTTTCACTTAGCGCAATGTTCTGGAGGTTCATCCAGGTTGTTGCAAAAGGTAGGAACTTCTCTATTCTCGAGGCTGAGTAAGGCTGTGTGTGTGTGTGTGTGCGCGCGCGCGCGTACACGTTGAGTACACAGTACACACAGCACATTTTCTTTCTCCATTCATCTGTTGACAGACACTTGGGTTGTTTCCCACATCTTCACTACTGTGAGTAGTGCTGAAATGAACACAGGAGAACAGGTAGCTGTTTTAAGAGACCGACTTCACTCCCTTGGGTTACATAACCAGCAGTGGGATTGTTGGGTTGTGAGATGGGTCTATTCATTTCTGAGGAAACAACATACTGTGTTCCACAACAGCTGTACCAGTCGACATTCCCACCAACAGGTGTGTGCAAAGTTTCCATTTCCCCATGTCCTTGCCAGCTCCTAGCATCTCTTTCTTGTCATTCTGATTGTAACCATTCTAACAGGTGAAGTGATATCGCTTACGGTTTTCACTTTTCATTTCCCCTCACAATGACTGACGTTGAACACCTTTCATATACTTGCTGCCTATTTGTATGTCTTAGGGGGAAAAGTCCTTCACCCAGTTTTAAAATCAGTTTTTTTTTTTTTTGCTATTGTGTTATATAAAATCCTTATATACGCTTTGCAAATGTTCTCTCCCATCCCATAAGAAGCCTTTTCATTCTGCCAACTATTTGCCTTTGTTGTACAGAAGCTTTTTGATTTAATGTAGTTTCACTTGCTTATTTCTGCTTTTGTTTCCGGTGCCTTTGGTGTCTACCTGTGAACTATTACCAAGACCAACATCAAGAAGCTTTTCCCCTATTTTCTTCTAGTTTTGTGGTTTCAGGTCTCACATTTACATCTTTGATCTAGTTCATGTTATATTCGTGAGTTGTGTAAAGAGACTATACAATAGTCTGAAATCTGAACTGTGATGCCTCCAGTCCAGTCTCTACCAGACTGCTTTGGCCATTCAGCGCCTTTTGTAGTGACATATGAATTTTCAGATGTTTTCTATTTCTGTGAAGAATGCTACTGGAATTGTGACAAGAACTATATTAAATCCACAGAGTGCTTTGAGTAGTGTGAACACTTTAATATTAATTCTTCCAATCCATGAATATGGGTTATCTAGGAAAGATTATCTTTCAGTGACAGATCATGATTGCAGAATATAATACACATGTAAGGGCGCCCTATACAGATTCCCTCAATGGGGGCTGTAATTTTAGGGGCCACTAGTACTCCCTACCTTCTACAACATAAAGTCAAAAGGACCTGATCTCCCTCCTCAATATCACTGGTCCAAGGTTCAGCCCTTTCTACACTGATATGTGGTGGGAGTTATTTGCCTTACCAGAGACAGGGGACTAACCAAAGAAATTCTAGCAACTAATCAAGATTCCTGTTCAAAAGGCATTTACATTAGTCACAGAAATTTTTTTTTAACTAGGTATGTTATTTTTGATTATTTTTCTTTAACTATAAAGACAGCAAAGAGCAAAGACTGTGTAAATCTATCAATCACCCAAGACAAGAAAATACAATAGATAAAAGTATCCAATAATAATACCACTTGCTAGCTCAGGTTATTTTCAATTAGACATTTTGCTACACAGATAAATGCATTGTCTGAGCAGCAAATAAATGTAAACGTCTCACATATGGGCTTTTTCTGCTTTGTCAGAGCCTTCTTTGTGCTCAACATTCTGTGCTTGAAACACACTTGATTATTTCCTGTCTGTAACTGGAAAAACAATACAAAGCAGGAAGGAACCTCCTGCTAGCCATTTTACTCTGGGGTTTGTTTTTTCCTATGCAAGTCTCTGTGCAGTTTCACGAGTTAATTAAGCAAGGCTGCCACCAGGTAGGGTTTTAATTTACCTGTCACTTTTGGGTAAAGCCTAAGATTGATTTATCTTTTTCTTCCTGGTTTCCAAAGCCCAAAGGCAGCTTTTCCCTAACAAGGTGTGAGAAATCCAACTTCTCAGTTGTGGCAAAAGGAAGTTTCACTCAGCCCATGAGCAGGACAAAACAGGAACATCCCCAAACTGAGGCAGCTCATCTACCAAAATGACAGGAAATGCTCAAAATTTCCAGTTGGCCCACAACTTCCACCTCTAATCAAACACTGACTTCTGGATGAGTTTCTGTCGTCCTCACTCTAGTGCCAAACGCCACTGCTGTCAACCACCATCGTTGCCCAGGGTTCTGGCAACCTCACTCAGGGTGTGTCCACAGTCATAAAGCAGGGGGGAGCCCGGGAATAAAT